ACAACATTAGTTTTAGCACAATTAATAGAATTAAATCCATAAGGAAATTCATTTGCTAATATCACGACCACTAATTAAACAATCTTGAGAATGATGAATAATTTTAGAAAGAATAATTTTAAGTTTATTGAGAAATAAAATAGAAATAACTTTATAAAAATTTTTACAAAGAGAAATCAGATGATGATCATAGAAAGAGTTAGCCGAAGAACTCTTAAGAATAAGTATAATAACTGAATGCTTAATCCTATGAAGAAACTTAGAAGCAAGGAAAAAATATTTAATAGCATAAATGCAAGTATTTCCAACAATATTCCAAGCATCTTTAAAGAATTTAGAAGTGAAACCACTTGGCCCAGGAACTTTAGTAGAACCGATAAAAAAGAAAGTCTTTTTGATATCATAATCAGAAAAACCTTGAATCAAAAATAAAAAATCCTCAATAGAAATAACATTGTTAGTAAGAAATGGGTTTCCCAAAGTATAATCATTAGAATAAGAAACATTAAGCAAATTAGAATAGAAAGTAATAGCTTAATGAATAATATCATCATGATTATGAACATAATCCTAATCAACTAAAATCTCCTTGATAAAGTTAGAATTATGTCTAACTTTAACTTTTTGATATAGAAATTTAATGTCATCTTCTCCTTTAGTTAGTCAAGCACATTTGGCTCTCTATTTGGCTCACTTATAGTCACAATTAAAAGCATTAGAAGTATTATTTTGAATGACAGAAGCTTCCTCTAAAATATTTTTAGACAAGGGATAAATTTCCAACTCAAACATAATTTTATTTTGTTTAAAAATAAGATCAACAAAATAATAGGATAAAACTTATAAGAATTCCAATTCCAGCTCTTAAGAGCAAGCTTAACTTCTGAAGTCTATTACAAAGAGGAAAATAGGATCCCCATTTACAAGAATTCTCCAAGCTATATTAAAAATATTTAAAAAGTCAGAACAAAAGCTCAATAATTTTTATACATAAATCTATAATGAATAGTAGAAGAGCTACCCAAAAAAACTAAAATAGGGTGATGATCCTACGAATAAGGTTTTAAAGCTTTATAAAAAGAATTATGAAAGAAATCTATCCAAGTAGAATTGCAAAAAGCTTTGTCAAGAAGACATTAAATAAGATAATTAGATTGATTATTATACCAACTAAAGAAACAACCAGAATTATGCATCTAAATGAGACCAGAGTGGTAAATACAATTAATAAAATAAAAAAGTTTGGACGACAAAGATTGAACACCTCCGACCTTATCTTCATTCCTTAAAATACAATTGAAATCTCCAAGTATATTAAAAGAAGATGACACATTCTCAACAATATTGATAATATAATTCCCTAACTTCTTCCTAATATTAGCACAATTATCAACATAGATAACAGTAAAAAAAATTGGCATTAGCAGAAATATAAACATGACAATGAATAAATTAAGCATCATTATCCATGCAGAGATATTCAAAAGATCTTTATTCTATAAATTCCACATCTTGCTGTGATAAGCAATATCAAAATCATGGACATGATCTTCATTTTAAAAAAATATTGTAATAACTAGATGAAAGAGTTTATTTTAATTTCTTAGTTCTTAAGAAAACATTTATGATCAACAAGACGAGTTTCATTATTAAACTCACGAAAGTTCCAAGCAATAATTTTAGGGAAAAATTAGAATCATTATCAACTTCATCATCCAAAAAACCAATTTCATCATTTGTATATGGAACATATGAGAGATTAAAATCAGTAAAAGAGTTAATATTAGATGAAACCAAAGTTTTCCAATTCGTAGTAGAATCAAAGCCAGAAATGAATCTGAAACAAAAAAAATCTTAGAGATTACCCAAATGGAAGGGAAAAGAAGAGAAACTTGACGTCGAAACGTGTAGAAATGTTCGTTGAACGAAGAAACCCTAAGAGATTTCAAGAATCGCCATAAAGAAAAATCAATATAAAATATTATTGTATAATTTTTTTATATAACAGTTCCTTTTTCCTCGAAATTAAAGGCATGCATTAGTAAAGTATAATGGATATAAAACATAAGATGTGTTGATATGTCATAGTTAATATAAATTATCAAGTTTTAAATAAAAATTAACAATATATATTAAAATTTAGTCGAAAATGAATGATTGACTTTGTCATGTCATCCTCCTAATTGATAATTTGGAATTGGGAGACTTCGGATATGGTCATCAGTATAGGTTAGGTTGAAATTAATGAGAAATTAATGCCGAAAGCCATATGAGAGAATAGTGAGGGATCAACGGTTAAGCACCATAGAGCTTCCTAATATCATATCCTTGACAATAATGGAGTTTAGGTAGCCTGAGATTTCATGTGAAGAGGAGAGGGAGAGATGGAAGATAAAAGAGAAATAGATTTTTCATTTATAGAAAATTTAGTTTTAATTTTTTTTAACCGCATTTTTTAAAAGGGCTTTATTAACTATTAAGTATATATATATACACACACTATGAAAAAAATAGCATTAAAACAAACTTTATTTTTGAACTCTTTTTCCCATGACTTTAAAAGTTGGATTGGAGAGGCGGTTCAACAGGTTCAGTAGTGAATTAGCGATTCAACCGACTTGGTCCAAACTTTTAACTGTTTTTGCATAGAACCAAGGTTCAGTCAACGAATTGATGAACTGATTTGATTTTGAAGGAACCAATTGGTTCAAATATTATCCATTTTTAATTGTTTTTATATTGATGGGATGGCCGTAAATAAGTTATTTGAACTATAAAAATAAAAAAATATATGATGTGTAAAATTTTTTATTAAGGATACCTTCCAAAATACTCAAAACTGTTTTATTAAATTAAATTATTATTTGTTTAATCAATAAAAATGGTATTAATATATTATTATTTCAATTTTATAAAAAAAACTTAATGTTTATTATTTCATCTAATTAAATCTCTAATTTAAGTTCGATTAAACCATTGAACTTTAAATTTTTTCCTTCTTTAGGTTCAATGTCCAATCCGATTTTTACAACCCTAATTTTTCCCATTATACAAATTAATAAAGTTATATCAAAATGATACTAGAGAAGAGAGGTCCAATAAAAAAGACTTTTGTTGTGATTTAAGTAAATGTCTATTGTGGTAGTTGATGAAATTAACTATTTGAGTGCTTAGACGAAGAAAAGCTATTACATACGCCCTTGCGTACGTACATCAAAGGTCGCGATGCGTGAAAAAAAAAAGGTCGCGACTCTCTTGGTCTCGTATCCACTTCGTCGTCGTGTACGTACCATAAGTATGCGTAATATTTGCTCCTAGGTGAAGGCACATCAATATTTTGCTAAAAAATGCAGTAGGTGAAAAAAAGAAAAAAAAAAAACTCATATTTGATATTAATATTCAGCCAAAATACCCCCAAGGTAGATGTTTTTTTTTTTTTTTTTGGTTTTGTTGGTTTGATTGATTAATGGCACGCAGCAATGGACGTCCCTGTTAGTTCCTTACGCCTTTAGCCAAATGGATAAAATAATGAAACCTTAAAGATTGATATAATTTATTAGTTTGCAAATCTCAATATTCTTTAATTGTAGGTGACAAATTTGTAATTTCTATCATCAAATTAAATTTAACCATGTACTTGTGTACGGTATTGTTATGGAATTTCCAAACAATTATTCATTTGCGGTTCGTTTGAGGGCAGCGGTGCGATGATGAAAGTGCGATACTGCACTGTATGTTACTGTGTTATGATAATTTTTTCAAAAAACTACTATTGAAATGTGTTTTTTTTCACTAGTCTTTGCTAGGTACGGTGACAGCTTTCTAGCTACGGTTAGACTTTTTTAAGAAAATATGTTGGTAATAGCTATTACAATTTTTTGAGCATCAGAGTATTATTTAGCAGCCTCACTGTTGTTTTTAAATAAATTGCAGCTGCCCCAAACAGGAAAAACTTTTCCATACAAAGTCCGGACGCAGCTCTGCGTGCAGACTCCGGTAATATGCCGCGAAGTGTGCTACACCAGACCCACCTAAAAAAATTAAAGTGCAACCGCAGAGGTTAGTGAAGTGGAATTATGGATGTTATTGGAGTGGAACCACTGATGTTATTGGTAGGGTTATTGAGGGGTTATTGGGGGTATTAACTCCAATAACGCCGCAATAACCCTCAATAAACTCAGCGGTTTCACTTCAATAAACCCCTGCAACCCCCCAATAACTTTCGCGCGATTCCACTTCAATAACCTCCGTGATTTCACTTCAATAATCCCTCAATAAACTAAGTGGTTCCATTTCAATAATCTCCTCTAATAACCCCCGCAATAACCCCTAAATAACTTCAACAATTTCACTTCAATAACCCTTCATAATAACTTCCGCAATAACCCCTAATAACCCCAATAACCTTCGTGGTTTCACTTTAATAATCTTCAAACAACCTCCGCAATATGGCAAACATGACAGCATATTGGAGTCTGCATGAATTCCACATGTAGAGCTGAGTCCGGACTCCGTATAGTAAAAATTTTATCCTTTAACATACCCTTACAAATGCTAAAAAAGCTCAAAGTTTATTTAAAATTTTGGGCTTCATTTTCAACTCAAAATTGATTTATAATTGATGTCAAAGTTGTTGTAATTTGTTTGAATATATTTGAAGTGAACTTAAAAAACTGATTCATAGGAAATAATAATAATAATAAAGAATTATAAAATAAAGTGTTAAAATAATTTATGATTATTAATATTAATATGATTCATTTTAATTTTAAAATTTATAGGAATGACAGAATATTCTCTAAATTTTTTAATAAAATAATTTCAAAACACCCTTAGCTTCTTACTGGTGCCGCAGGCGAGCCAAGAAAGAAAAAGGTTCGTCCAATGGCTTCGGCACTCACCGCCGCGGTACCCCCAACCTTACCGCATTGCACCAGAGCTCGTCGGCGGCCTCCGCTTCTCCGATCTCAAATTCAGTCTCACCGCCGCTTTCAGTCTCACCGCCGCTCTTCTTCACTCATCGCTCTTAGCAATGAACCCTCCCGCTTCGCCGAAATCCCCCTTCTCAACTTCTCCGCAACTTCTTCTTTTCATCTACACCGTCCTCGCGCCCAATCGCTGGAAGACTCCTTGCCATCTTCTTCATCGCCTTCATCCGGAGAGCCCGTCGCCGTCGAGGCGTTCTCCTGGCCTGCAGTTGTTCTTCCGTAAGTGGTTTCGTTTCTGTTTGGAAATTAGTTTAATTTTGTCTTCAATGCTGGCTCGATCCGTTATCCAGGTTTTTGTTCCCGGCTCTGGGTGGCCTTCTCTTTGGATACGACATCGGCGCCACCTCTGGGGCTGTTATTTCCTTGCAGGTGAGGGATTCATGTATTTCTCTGTGTTGTATCTATGTAAGGCCTGCTTTTAATGTTTTTGATGTGTTAAAATGAGACATTTTAATTACCTTTTATCATCAATACTGGTGTTATAATTAAATTAGATGATGATTCGAGAGTTTTATCTCATACCAATGATTAAAAAATATATTATTTGATAATTAAGGAGTGATCGAATCTCACTGATCGACTAAAATTTTTTAAGTTAAAATTGAGTTGATCACTGATGTATCATATCTTTATATGAATTTGAGACTCTTAGCGCCTACTATGCTTTAAAAATATGTGCACATACCTATACATTTGCAGAGATATACAAAATAGAGTTTGCTTACAAGCTCTTATCAGTTTCTGGTTGTTTTCTATTGTACTTTTGAAATTTGGATGATCATCTTCATGTATGTTAGACTCATAGTCTCAAGTTTTACTCAGTCAGCAGAGCTCAGTGGGACTAACTGGTTCAATCTCTCAGCTGTACAGCTTGGTTTTGTGGTAATTTTCAAAGTAGAATGCTTTCATCAACGGAGTTTTTTTTTTTTTTTTACTGCTTGCTATATTCTCTTTCTTTTTTGTTTTCCTTTGCTGTAATTAGGTCAGTGGTTCTCTATATGGAGCTCTTGCTGGATCTCTCATAGCATTCCCTACTGCAGACTTTCTCGGTATTGCTCCAGCACTTTTCTCATTTTTATTAAGGTCATCAGAAGCTTGACAGTTGAGTATGGCAATTGGTATATATGCTTCTGACAGTAATAGTTTTCGAGCCAACCTACTAAGTCTTTCTTGGTGAAGGAAGAAGAAGAGAGCTTATTGTAGCAGCTGTCTTGTACATTATTGGTGGATTGACTACTGGATACGCTTCTAACCTTTCAATTCTCATACTTGGCCGGCTTCTTTATGGCATTGGCATTGGTTTGGTGAGTTAGATTAGTTAGATATTTTTCCTACTTCATGCCCCTTCTGTTTTCTCATTGCAATAAAGATTATCTTAAACATAACATAATTAATGTATAAGTGACTAGCCAACATTTTTTCAAATTTCAAGTACACCGATATGCAAAAGAAGAACAAAATCATATAAACTCATATAAAGAGACTACTTGACAAGAGACATTTTTTGCATGCATGTTGAAGCTACCATTGCTCTAAGACCCTCAAAGTCGAGAATATATGCAATAAACAAAAGAGATCTGTCTATGCCATCCGAAACCTTACCCAAGGCATTATTTTAGAAGCTTGATTTAGCTGAGGCTTGCATCTCATGCACAAGCAACACTCGGCCCGAGGAACTCATGGATCTTGAGATAGAATCAAGATTCACAAATTTCAACTTCTACCCTCAAGTTGTGATTTCTAAGGCCTTCACTTGGATTGACGTGATGTTTATGATCTCCACTATTTGATCTACTTTTGATCAAAATAAAGATTATAACTCATGCAAGCCAATATGGATCTAATGCAAAGCATGATGTGGCAAAATAATCTCAATTGTGTCAAATTGACAATTCTCCCTATTGACTTGACACTAGTGAAATTGAAACTTCACTATGACTCCTTTTCAAGACGGGCATTTTATGCTTCCAAAACTCTGAAGGGTCTTGCATTGCACAATTTTATCCGCTCAAATGCCACCTAAATTGAATACCTACGAGGGACCTTTGTAACATAAAATTTTCACCCCTAAATGAATTCAATAATGCTAATTGTGTACCCATTGTTGAATTTTCATATCCTTTATAGTGAACCTTTACTCGCCATATGTGCTCTAATGAAATAACTCTATATTAGGATATATTTTGCAACATAGAACTAATCAATTTAAAAGCTTGAAAATTTTATATCATCTGGTGTTTTAACAAATTCTTGAACTTTCCTTGCAACTAAGAAACTAATTTTTCTTTGCTTCCCCAAAATGTGATGCTCTAATGCAAGTGAATGAATAATTGAAGCAACCTTTAAAATTATATTCTATCATAGATATAATTCTCTTCAACATCGCTTTAAAACCTAATACTTTACATCACCCAAAACATTCAAACTTATATAGGGCTATCAAATAAGATTGTTGTCATGTTCACCTCATTATAGAGATTGTGTTCAATTTCTCCATTAAGTGAGTAAAAAATGAATAAATTATTTGAGCTCGATTTGTAAATGAGCTAAATACTTGATATTCAATCGACGACATGAAGTGAAACTCAACTTAATGGTCCCACATAATATAAACATTTAGTTAATTATAATTACACAAATGAAGGTGTTAACACCAATAATTAATTAGAACAGGTGCCACCTAAGTAGTCGCTTTTACCTCATAATTGACTTAAATTAAATATTGGTGAGATATAACCCATCCTGCAAACTATACCATAATTTTCTTAAAATACATTTCCAAACACTTCAATAATTTAAAACTCTAAATAAATTCTAAACTAATTTAATCTAATCTAAAAAAATAGTTGATGTTAAAACTATAATCACATTCTGAAATTATAGTAAGTGGAAAATAATTATATATTGTGAGTTAAGAAGGAGAAGAAGGGAAACAATAACAAAGAAAATAAGGTGAGGAAGAAGAAGAAAATAAAATAGGGGGAAAGATTGTGGTTTTCCTACTAACAATGGAGGAAGTAGAGGTAAGACCTCATTGTTGGGCGTATTCAATCGAAGGAACGAGAAGGAAAGTTAAATACTTCTCTAATGTTAGCATTTGATCGAAGTACGAAGAAGAGAGATCTTGTTGCTAAGAGGAAGGGCGTATGCGTGAGGGGAGTGATGTGCTAACTTAACATTCTTATATTGTGAGTGGAGGTGATTCAAGACGCGTGATTTTTGCTATGATTAGATGGTAGTGCAACTATTAGGCTTGGGATCATGCTATCCGCATTGGTGAGAGGTGAAAAGGTCAAGGTCAAGGGCTATAGCTTGCATGTGGGATTTCGGCCAATTTGGTTTTGCTAGGCTCATTTTGCATGGGTTCACGGTTTTAACACCATCCATTTATTTATTATTATTCTTTTCCTATATGGTCACATCCCTAAATATATTATTCTATGTCATTAACATTATTGCTTTCCACTTTCTTATTAAGCCCATAAGGAATATTATTAATATAGCACATTAAAAGAGGTGAATTTATGCTCATATTATGATGATTTCTTTTAAAAACAAGTAAATAACAGTGTCAAAACTTAATAGATGATCCTTCAAGTTATAATAGCTTTCTTGTTTAGTTTGTGAAAATATATAGATAACACAAATAGACCATGAGGTAGACTTTGAAAGTTAGAATATGAGCGTTTGAATCTATACTTTAGATTTTGGAAGATGGATTAACTTTAAAGCATATCACATTCAAGATTTGTTAGATTAGGAGAAAATAAGGGTCAAGATGGAGAGGATACATGCATGAAAGGTGACATATTACAAGGTTGTGATTTTAGGAAAGTTGTGGCTGAGATAGTGGTCAAGATGTTTGTAAAATCGGTAGAAGACAAGGAGGAGGAGAGTTACTTTCGAGAAATCAGTGAGAACTAGACAACCCAGAAGCAAGCTTGCAACATCGCCAAAACTCCTCACTACATCGCACCTATAGTTGTGAATTGAGACTAAGAGGATTGAGATTAGCAATACAAACTCTTGATAACGGGGAATTATTAATACTAGAGAAATAGATACATGAGTTTAGGGCCCATAAAGTTCACACTTTGAAAAAGCCAAATTTGAAAGCTGTCTAAAAGCATTTTCTCAATAATGCTAAAGATATGATGCAACACAATTTAAATAAGTTAACGTTATCAGTAAATTATATGTTTTTTTAGCATTGCAAAGGAAAGTCAATTACAAACTAGTCAATTATCGGCTACACCCTAGCTAACTTGATTGACTTTATCCTGTAAGTTTTATTTTCAAAGATAATTTATATCCTTTACAAATTGCATTGCAGCGCTGTTCTTATTTACCTGGCACTTTTACACTAAATGATTCTATGATTTGCTAAACACAGGCCATGCATGGTGCTCCGCTTTATATTGCCGAGACGTCTCCATCCCAAATACGTGGAACTTTGATATCTTTAAAAGAGCTTTTTATTGTGCTTGGCATTTTGGTATATTCTTCAACTAATTTAATGTGTTTTATCCTTCATGGAATTCATTTTGCTGTTGATGAATCAATGAAAATTGTATATTAATGCAGCTGGGATACCTTGTTGGAAGTTTCACGATTAATTCTGTAGGAGGATGGCGTTTCATGTATGGTTTCAGTGCCCCAATTGCATTGTTAATGGTCATAGGCATGTGGAGCTTGCCACCATCTCCAAGATGGTTACTTCTCAGGGCAGTTCAAGGCAAAGGATCCCTGGAGGAATACAAAGAAAAGGCTGCTTATGCCTTGGGGAAACTGAGGGGTCGTACTGTTTATGATAAGACATCCAAGGAGCAAATAGAAGATGCTATCATCTCTTTGAAGGCTACCTACGATGAAAAGGAATCTGAAGGAAGTTTCTTGGACGTGTTTGAAGGAGCAAGTTTAAAGGCTTTCATAATTGGGGGAGGTTTGGTTCTTTTCCAACAGGTACGATTTCCCAACTTCTAGTTCTTCAAAGTTTCTCTGTTTAATTTTTTCTTTTTTTAAGAAGAAGAACCTTATGCTCAATGTTTTTTGTTTGATTTTATTTTTTTAGATGAAGCGCATAGTGTATTTATAATTTATTAATTAAGAAAATGAGTAAATTGATCCCCTGACTAGTTGTTGGGGGGTCATTTTAGTTCCGAACTATATAAAATGCTTGATATAGTCCATAGACTTGATAAAATAGGAGCCATTATATTAAAAATAACAAAAGTTGAAGTTAAAGTTAACGAATGATGTTAAAAATGAAGGTATTTTATCTAACATTCTTATAAAATCTTATAATTAATTTTTTCTAAGTTTTAAATTTTAAAGAAAGTTTATCAATAATAAATGTCAAAAGTACTAAATTTATCATCACAGAGCATTTAAAAATGAAGAGATGTTTAGGATATTATCTTTAAATTATATTGGAATTCCGAAATGAGGTAAGGAGGAAATTAGATTTTATTAAAATTTCAAGAAGAAGATGTAAACAATTTAAATACCCCCATTTTGATATTTTTAATACCATTCTTTTACTTTAACTTTAATTTATGTTATTTTTAATGGTGGGATCATTTGGCTCTTCTTTTAAGAGTCCAATGACTGAATTGGACCATTTATATAGTTTGGGATTAAAACGGCCCCCTCTAAATATCCGGGGGACCATTTCTGCCCTTTTATGTTTGTTAATTTGATAATTTTACCTTCCCTACACTATAAAATAATAATATTGCTATTGAAGCCCTGTCCAAATTGACAGATTACCGGGCAGCCAAGTGTCTTATACTATGCCGCTCCTATTCTTCAGGTAATACCGTAAATTGATCTCCTAAGCTCTTTTTGTGAAACTAATTTCCAATTTCTATGATTTTCACTCTCATGCAGAGTGCTGGATTTTCTGCCGCATCTGATGCTACTAGGGTTTCAGTTGTGATTGGGATATTCAAGGTGCGGTCTTTGAACTTGTTACTTTTCAAAGGAGTTGAACTTATTTTCAATTTGTAAAACTATAATATTTTTTATATTGTTGCCAAATTCATTGGATTTTCCTTGTGTCTTGCTAAATATTATGAGCTAGTTTTCATGATACTAATGTTGTTAAGGATTCCAACTTCAAGATTGTTATTAGTTTTATTTTTTAATTTTCTGAAAGAAAAAAAATGAATTTGTATGGCTCGGAAAGCTTATAATTGCAATAATTTATGTCTATCCCAACTTAAATGACTTCACTAGCATTAAGTTCCTTTTACATCAAAGTTATCAACATATATAAAAAAAAGTTCCTTTTGCATTTTGTCAGTAAAGTTCCTAAGCATGGTCTCTAGCAAGAGATGCAAAGAAGCTACTTTTTATCAGAAATCCAGCAGTTATGAAAACTTTTATGGTGATATTCTGAAATAAGGCCTTAACGTCAGATCTCCATTATAATCCAATTATTTATTTACTATATGACATGAGTTCCATGTCCTTTTAGTTCAAATCTACTTGGGATGTCGTTCTTCATGTATAGGAAATGAAAACATCATTGGGATTGTTTTTTGGCTGGTTCCTAGTGGAATGTTTTTGAGCTCTAAAAGCACTCGAGCTCGAGTGATCCTCATTCAGCTTTTTTAAAGTTTGATGGAAGGATGGAATTAGGGTTATCTCTGCATGTCTTTTAACTTCATGTTGATGGTTTCATATATAATTCATTTCAAGTATAAGCAGGCTGCTCTGTCATGAATTCTGTTTTTTACATGTAAATATAATATCTTTTTTCTCCTGCAGTTGCTAATGACTGGAGTAGCTGTTCTCAAAGTTGATGATCTTGGTAGACGTCCCTTATTGATTGGTGGCGTTAGTGGAATTGTATGCATTCATCTCATTTCCTCATTTTTTTTATAGTATGAAACTGCCACTAGTTTTTTGTGTTTTGTACCAATATTATAATTTTGGAAGAAAATATTGCTCAAGTTTGTTCTATCAAATCATCCTTTAACTTTACAGCCAACCCTAAATAGTTGGGGTAAGGTTAATAATAATGGGGACAATGAAATCATCTTAAATCCTGTCAATTTATTTGTAGATTGGCTAGTTTGATATGGGATTATTCAAGTTTATATTTATGGAAAATGCCAATGATTTTTTTTTTTTTTATATTTTGAATATAGGTACTGTCCTTGTTCCTTCTTGCAGCTTACTACAAATTTTTAGGAGCTCTCTCCTTGGTTGCTGTTGGAGCTTTGCTTTTATACGTTGGCTCTTACCAGGTTACTCCCTCTCTAACAATGTAGACTATTAATGCGTTCTATGTATTCAGAGCACTAACTGTTATGCTTCTTTATTTTAACTAGTTGGTTTAATAGCTCGTTATTTAGCATTTTTAGCTATTTGTACTTGGCATCAAAATCATACATTGTACATTCTTTTATTATCACTGCTTCTCATGGATTTTTTTTTTAATTATTTTGTGAGTATTCATGCAAACTTCTATATTTTGTATATTTAATTGCTGATCATGGGTAACGTAGAAAGCCCTTTTTGATGTAAGAGAATTGAGCTATTGAAGTTAATCTAGAAGGTCTGGCACTTCTGTTCTCATCACAAGTAAAATAAATTTAAGAAGGATTAGGTCTCAAAGTATTCAGATTTCCACCCAATCATTTTAGTGTTGTACAGAGCAAAGATGTAACAACAATAAAAACAACATTGATAATGGTGATTAATGAATAACAACAACAACGAAACAAAAAATGAACCATTTGAAGTTAAAATTCAGCGAACATGTAAGATGTTGCAACGAGCAATATGATTTAAGTGGAACAAAAAATCAAATAATGAACAATAGGTGTGATATTGATGCACTGTGTAAAATTCAATGAGAAAATCCTGTTAGCATGCAGGTTGCATCAATGGCCAATGATAAAGTTGAAAACATCAAAGAACAATTCACAAAGACAATGAGAACCTAGGATAATTGAGTTTCAGTAAGCCGTAAAGAGCCAAGTGATTAAAACAATAAAATTCATGAACAAAAATGGAGGAAGAAAGTTTTTCCTACTTCTATTTCATTATTGTTTTGGGAGTAAGTGCACTGAGAGAACAAATGTAAGAACAAGGACAAAAATAAAAAGTATGCCTAAAATAAGTAAACTAGGCACATATGATTTGTGTTCAAGGAAGTTTCACCTACGTCCATGTATGCCTTGAAAGTCTTACCTCGCCCCTTTTTAGAGTACTAATTATGCATTTTTAGAAGGTAGATTATGTAAACATGATTTTTTTTTTGTGTGTGTAAATTTAAGAGTATGTTTACATATATGGTCGAGACTTCGTACAGTTATAAGCCATCATAGTTAGTTATCCTCTATATTCTAAATAATATCTCTTAATTAAGGAGGTTGTTTGGCTTATATTTATGTGTTTGCTTTGCAAATGAGGTGTATGCATGTGAAGTATGGAAATTGCACCTGTTTCTATCATATATTTGAGAGATTCTCGGTTGAATTTTTAGAATATATATTATATATTATATAAGACTTTCCATATATTTTGTCCTCTAATAAGAATTTTTTGACCTAGTCCAATTGTTCTTGTAGTTGTGAACTCTTATAGTTAATTGCCCCTCTTGATCGTGAGAAAGAACTTTCGATTGATTTTAGTGTACTAGTTTTATAATGCTTTGTTTCAACTTCATTAATTTGTTTTGGGGAAAGAAATATTTATCAAAATTTTCTTAGAGTGAAGTATATGAAATTGACAACAAACAATCAAGAACCCACGGTTTTGTCAAAGATATGAGTGAACATGGATTAGCGGGGACGACAAAAACCTTATGAGCAGAAGGTCGAGGAATCTCACAAGTAACTAGAGTAATTGCGGGGGTGCGGGGTGACAAAGGTAAATTAAACGGGAACACTAAAGTCTCCAAAAAAAAAACAACCTTTTTGCTGTTCGTTGTTCTTTTTTTCTGTTTTTTGTTTGCCACCGTTGGAGTTCTTCATTCTTACTACTGTTCTTGTTGAAATTCTATCTAAGAAATTTTTTTTTTTTTTGCTCAAATTCCATTAAAAAAACAGAGAATTCTATCCAGGATTTTCCCCATTTCTTGCCTACAAATTGCAAACCGATTTTTGTCCCTGCATTCGTTTGTGGTTGTCAATGGGTTTGTTTAATCACTTCCCAGCTGCAGAAATTGGAAGTTCATTGCTGTAGGTTTGTTGTCTAACCAGTCTGTTTGGAAGAAACTTTGATTCTTGATGCAAGAATTTGTTCACACATCAGCCAAGAGAAGTCCAGGGGTGACACATGCATTTATTGGGGCAAGAAAGGGCCATTGGCTAACCCAAACTTCCTATAGGTGCATTGGAATGAAAAATGGTGGTTGGAAAGGTCAACTAGGGTTGCTGGTAGGGGTTTCCCGTGCATGAATTCTATCCTTCTAGTAGTATTTCCTTCAACCGATTAGCTTTCCAGGCTTCTACATGTAAACTTCTAATCCATAAAAGGAAGAACAGCAGAATTGTAACCCCTTACATATGGGATTACTTGGAAGGGATCGATTCCATGGAGATTAAGAAAAGGGTTCTCCCACCTGAGGAGAATGACATGCGGTGTCTTAATCTTGATCCGTAATAAAGGTGGTCGAGTCATTTGAGTCAAGTTGTGGGTCAATATATTAGTAAGAGTATTTTTGTCTGTTTGTTTTTATTAGGGTTTAAGTCCTTTGTTTTATTATAAATAGGTCTTATGTTGTATTAGGGAACTTTTGGAATGATATAGAAAGATGTGAGAGCTTTGGCTCTGTAGGTTCCTGGATGGGAATGTGTCTGTATCCACGACATCGAGTGGTGACAACTATATCTCTTCCTTGTTGCTGGTGACATCTCGGACCTCTTGTCTCTTGTAATTTTTTATTTGATTAGTTTATCTCTTTTTTTCTTCCTTCCTATTTTTCCTGATTTCCAGCTTCTTGTTTTCGATTTATGTTCTTTACATTTTCTCTCTATATTCTTGTTAAATTCTGCACTCATACCCTTTGTCGGCATCAAAAGGGAAGAAAGATCAAGAAGGGCGACTCAAAAAAGACGAGGAAATGACCCTTTGCCGATATCAAAAGGGAAGGAAAATCAAAATGAGCAATTCAAAATAGGCAAGGAAATGACAGAAACATATCTAAAATGGGGGAAAGAAATTATTTTTGGAGGGGAAAGTGAATGTAGGAAAAAATTACGAGACGAGTTTCCACCCTAAAAGGGTTGACAAGAACTATATGTGGCACACAATCACAGGAAATCTTGAGAGCCACACATGTCCTTATACACAAGCACATAGAAAGAAACTGAATATTAAGGTCTTTGAACAATGATAGAGGACAAGGAGTCGACCACCCCTTGCGTGAGTGTAAAACCTGGAGAACGATTGTCCTTACGCTCACATGAGACATGAAAATAACTTTAGAGTTTCATATGTGCATGCTTACGGGTTCAAGAAATGACATTAGTAAGTATTTACCGTAGTTTCTTGCACCAAATTTGTCAGTCAATGGATCTTCATTAAAAGGTTTATATTGCACTCATTCCAATAACTGCCTCTCCATTTTATGCTAAGTTATTTTGCACACATACGATTTCCCTTGGATGAGAAAAGGTCTCCCCAAGATTTGAACAATATATTCACTCTGGAGTTGGCCAATTGATGACGTTAGTAGATTAAGTTAGATTTTAGAAGTAGTCATTACTAGAGCGAAAAATAGTAACTTTTTGGCTAATGAATAGACACTTTTTCGAGCTTGTGCAAAATTAACTTAAGATGGTGGAGGTGTTGGTCTTTATTTGAATTGAAAACTAGGATATCATAAAAATAAACCATAACAAATTTTTTGATACAAAGCTTTTACACTTTATTTAGTACCTTCATGAGTATACCCGATGCACTGGATAAATCAAAAGGAAGATTTAAAATTTCGCAATTAAGTACCGAGGCATTTTTCGTCTGTGTGTTGAGATTCAAACCTCGAGGTTTTTTAGGCGTACACCTCAAAACCAATAAATTATACATAGTATAAAGTATTGTACTAAGTCCAAAAGTATGTAATAAGAAATACCGTATTAATATCTTAACCAATATATACGATAAATGTTACATAATAACATTCTAATATATTGGAAGTAATAAATTGTTCAAAGTAAAAAGTAGCAAATCAACATTCAAACATCAAATCATAAACTAAGAAGTTTTATACAAGCATCAATGTAAAACATAATAGCATAACATATTGAAATAAATTCGACATAATTAATCCGTTTTATTTCTACTGTTCTCTTTCAATATAAGAACATAACAAGACAATCATGTTTAAATTTCTAAATTCAAATATCTACATCACTTTTATCACTCAATAAGCCTTCATTAGAATTATTGGCATAACGATTTATTTTTTCTCTTACCTAGTTCTCCATTGTGTCTATATTCTCTTATTCATCTTCATCTTATATCTCAACTTTCTCTTATTTAATATATATTATTTAGTAAGAATATTTATTAGATTTTAAAATAATGATTGTGTTGATGGTAACAATGTTAATTATATTGTCAATTGTATATTACATGGATAAAAAGAAATAATTATGAGAATTATTTTACTTATATTTATTTTTAGGAAAATTATATATCTAATTACACAACTCACTAGAACTAAGGTAAGGTGCGCCTTGAGGCGGGCCTCATGTATTACTCAATGAGGCGTAAGCCTCGTTACAAATTTTTCAAAAAATGTGTTAAGATGGAGCACATATTATGCAATTTTAACGATGGTCAAAAGGCATCATCAGCTATTTATATAATATATTTGGGTCTTAAATGTTGTCTTACACTCATCCATACTCTAATCCTAATATTATGACATCCACCCTTAATGTTAGAAAAATAAGTAGCACAAGAGATTTGATCCAATATGATATCAAGCCAAAAGAGAGGGAAAAGTGCAAGTAGCACTTCCAAAATATTCATATATTAAATGTTCATCCATTACTACATAAACAAGTTCATGCCAATTTTCTTGTATTTTATTCATGTAAAATTTAAATTGGCTATGATGTGACTAGTGGCGCCTTAAAAGAAGAGGTGATTGGAGATAATGGGTGAGGTGGCATGGTTGGTTTTCTTCTCTTATGAGAAGTGTGGTAAACATACTCCTTGGCTGGTGGAACAAGTCTGAAGCCAGGAATGCCTTCTTGATTTGAGGGAGTATTAGGTGAGTTATCATGGTAACTTCTACATTTCAAATCCAATCTCCATGCCTTGGCCGACCACTTCTTTTCTTGAGTTTTCTAGATGTCATGATGGAATGATCATTCCTTGGTGATTGGGTGTTTTATAATACACCCTTACAAAGTCCTAGGAGACAATGAAACAACATTACAAACATGGCTGGAAAATTACAACAGAAAATGTATGTGATTATAGCACAAAGTCTAAGATTAGAAGACAGAATAACTATCAATGACCCTTGACACTAATTATTTTCCTTGTGAAGGATCTGTAATTTACTGTATCAAAATTATTTTCTCCTAAAAAATATTTCTTTTGACCATGTATGACCATATATCCTCTCTTTCACAAAGGCGGGGTGGACTGTGTGACACATCTGTTCCAATAAACCTAAAAAAATTGAAAATTAAGGGAAAATTTAAAGCTATTTCAATTGGTATTAGTGTATTTCTTGCTCAAAAAATCTTCATTTTTAAAAAATAAGACTAGTACTATGGGGCATTTTTCTTACAGCGGGATTTGTGCATTGTAATCGCTTTTTGTCCATGATTCCATTAACAGTTAAAAAAGCCTGTAAAGGTATCTCATTCCTTATTCTGTATATTTTTTGTTGTAATATATCCGCCCAGACAGATTATTTTTTCTACGAGGTGAATAAATTCGCAGCATTGATGCTATCAAGTCTATTAAAAAGGCTGACAACTGTTTTTCTTATGATTGCTAGGTATCGTTCGGTCCAATAAGTTGGTTAATGGTTTCAGAGATCTTTCCACTGAAAACAAGAGGGCGTGGAATTAGTATTGCAGTTTTGGTTAATTTTGGCTCGAATGCTTTAGTAACATTTGCCTTCTCACCATTGAAGGTAAACCAGGTTACTTATCATTTGCAGGCACTTATGATTAAAGCATTTTACCTCCTTTTTTCTTGGCAGTGATTTATAATTTGTCTTTCTAGTTAAAGCTCCTTTGGATATATAGTGCATCATAGGAAGAATTAGCAGAAGTAGAATGTTTAGATTTAATGCTGCTAACCAATGTTTTAAACTTGTAGTCACAATCTCTCTCAATAAATAAAAAATGAGGATCTACGTTAATAAATTCTTGGTGTGAGTGTGTCTTCTTCAATTCTTTCCACATGAAACCTCAAACTTCTTAGAAAATTTAAAAGCATGGTTTTTTTTTCAAACCTCAGAAAGCATTTCCATATACCTAGTTGTCGATTACATGCAAATTGAGGCATGCATCCTTAGTAGGAAGTCTCCTAGCTCCAATCTTGAGATCAAAATTTTATCTCTTATTAGGCACAAACGCACATGCCTTGATCTTGAGTAACAAGTACTCCTAAATCCCAAGAGAAAGATCACGCACCTCCCAAGGCATCCCATGTCCATAAATTTCCTAGGCCTAATCCAAACAACAGCTTGCCAATCGAGGTAGAATTTTTATTTAAATTTATGCTCTGTGATACTTGATCTTAGTCGTTTAATATGATCATTAATAGGAATATATAATGAATCTTTTAAGAGAGTGTCATTTTTTAACAGTTCTTCCCTTTGGTTCAATATTGTAGCAGAAGTAGACCTCATTAGTGTCACTTTCTCTCCAAGCCAAGCATTCTAAGCTTTAGAAGTCCTCAAGGGCAATCTATGTAAGAGATTGATACGTTCTGGAACCAAAATCAGCGAGCAAAAAACAATAAAGTTGCAATAGATAAGTGTAACACTCAAATGAGGGCTACTCTTATGAAAATCAACCGAAAACAAGCAAGATATAAGGGTTGTTTACTATTCAAGAGCTAAATTGGCTCTCCACAAATCCTAGATGGCGCTAGTAACACTATAAGAGTGAAAAACTGCAGTCACCAAATATAACATAAAAAAACCTTAGCCCTTAGGCACTGATACATACTCTCCAAGAGTCCCTTTAAAATTTCCCCCAGATTTCCCCCTTGATTCCCTTCCTTCTGTAAGTGATCAGCGACTTGGAGAGTCCCACTTGGGTGCTGGGATCGCCCGAACCAAATCTGAGCTAGGTCGACTGATCTGACTCCTTCTAGCCGGTAAAGGCCGGTACTCCCTGGACCGGTTCATGTAAAACGGGAGGAGTCCCCTGCGTATCAATACTCCCCTCCCAAAGAAGCACTTGTTCTAAGAGTGTGTTTGGGGTGAATTATTTGTGCGTTCAACATTTTGAAAACGCTAAACAACTGTTTGTTTTGCGCGTTGGCTCGGGGATCCGCCAACACGCAACGGGTTTTATTAAAGGATCTCGGCCGCGGGATTGACCTCGCAACCCGCGTTCCTTTACAGTGTTTTACCCCCGCTTCCCTTTTGATCTCTTCCCGCGTAGCTCTGCGATTGATCTCAGGGAGACCTGCGCCTCTCTCACCTTCTCTCGTCTCGCAGACGAGCTAGGCAGTCGGCTGAAGCGACTGCGATGTTCACTACAACGCCAAAATGTCTGCTTCCTTGCTTCCTTAAGCCCTTGCCTCTCTTCTTCTCCGCGTTCGGTGGCCTTCTTCCAAGGCTCAGGAAGTGCTTCTTTGTATGTAGCCAAAGTCGAGCCCGCGTCAGTATGGTTCGCAACTCGGAATCGAATCCCAATGAATACCACTCAAATTTTTGGTATGCATGCAAATTTCACTTTTAAATCCGGGGCTCATTCCAATTCCAACCGAAACCTACGATCCATCCTCGGAGCGAGATCCCCATCCCTTGCTGTCTCTCTGATTCCTTCTCTCCATTCGTATTTTCTCCCCCCAACCGAGCCTCCCATTCGCACCTCTCATTAAACACTCTCCTACTCGAAGCTCTAGCAGCTCCCTTTCTCTCTGAGTCGAAGACCTAACTATTCCCCCTCCCCAACGGTTTTGATTTCGCAAATCAGTCCAAAAACCACTTCCCTTCCTTCATTTTCTGGTTTGTAAGTAATCCAACTGTGAGGAAGCCTTTTTCTCGCCTCTTACCCTCCATGCTTCCTCTTTTCTCAAGTCGAAGGTCTCCGTCTTCTTGTCATCCTCTCTGATTCGCATAGGTAAAATCGAAACTTCTTGCCTTTTTTTGTTCTGTATGAAATTTTGTATTTTTGGATTTTTTATGCTTGATTTGTTTGTGATTATGGAGAATAGTGAAGGAAAAGATAAGTTTTTTTTGTCTCTTAAGAAATTTTTGAACTTACATTCTGAATTATTTGAAGATGAATGCTCCATTCCATTTCTTGTGCTTTAAAATATCTTATAGCTGTCCGTCTTGGTGCTAATCTCATTCTGAACGTTGTAATTCATTGATGAAGTACAAGGCTAAACCTTTTGAAAGTTTTAATTCAAGATCTTTCTTAGTGCTAATCTTTCTTTCAAAATCTCTTTATGGAATTTTGCAAATTTGATGCACAAAATTGTTGAAATTTAAGCTGATTTTGCTGAACCAAACAACTTCTTGAAGATTTTGGGAACCAAAATAGCATTTGCATGTTCATTCATTTCATCCTTGTATTTTGGAAATTTAAAGACTATTTAGCTTGGTCTTATTTCCACTCTTTATAGCGTCGAATTGGCTAGCCAAATTTGAATCATGTAGTTTTTATTTGAACGATGCAAAATATCATGAATAATGCATAAATTTTTTTAATATTTTATTAATCACTTATGAAATAATTCTTGTTATCGTTTCCTATTTTCATGAAGTATCATGGGAGGTTTTGATCTTAGACTAGTATTCCTTTCAAAATTTCTTGCAAATTTAGTTTCATGTTGAAGTAATTCCTTAGAGATTTCACTGTAAATCAGCTATTTTGCGAACACACCGACCAAACAGCTAAATAGCTTATCCAGAACAGGGGCGAAATGATCATTTATCTAGAATCAGTTGTTTTCGAAACACACAAACCAAACAACTAATCAACTTATCAGGATAAGTTGTTTATCTGGATAAGCTTAATAAGTTGTAGTTGCCCCAAACAGACTCTAAGTTGAAAGGATGGAAACTGTTTTTGGATTATTTCGTAAGGCTCCCATGTGGCTTCATAGTCTGAAAAATCTTTCCAACTAATAAGTACCTCCTTTGCTCTTGTTGCTTGCTCTTGTTTCCCCCCCCCCCTCCCTGACACTTCTTTGACCTCTAAAGGTTCTAGAACCACCCCATGTTCTCTGTCAACGTCTACGGTAGTGAAGATGAGGGTGTATGATATCCGGTAAGACACCTCAGCTAAGAAACAGGAAACATGGGATGCATTTTTTTATGATTTTGGCATTTTCAAACGGTAGGCCACTTCCCCAATGCATTCCATAATCTCGTAGGGTCCAAAATATTGCGGAAAAATTTTCTCGTTCCTCATCCTCGTCGATGTTTTCTGCCGATAGGGCCTCGACTTTAAGTAAACCATGTCCCCAAGCTCAAATTGTATCTTCCTTCTATGCCCATCTGCCATCCTCTTCATGATCTATTGGACTCTCAGAAGATGCCCCTTGAGTTCTGCCAATAGTCTGTTCCTCTCCTCCAAGTACTGGTCAACACTAGATACCGGTGTGACGATATGCTCGTAGTGTGTCAAGTGAGGTGGATCTCATCTATACAAAATCTTGAAAGGGGTGGTGTGTCGCGGTGTGCCAGAGATATTGTACCAATATTCTACTCATGCAATCCACCTGACTCACAATTTTAGTGTACAGTTTCGACGTATCTAATACAAAGCAACGCATATATGTCTTCACTGTCATGTTGACCAGCTATGTCTGGTCATCTGTCGAGGAATGATATGCGGTGCTCCTCTTAAGGACCGTTCTTTGTAACTTGAACAACTCCTTCTAGAATTGGCTAAGGAACACCTTGTCCCTATCTGACATAAGCGATTCTAGAACTCTGTGTAAGCAAATCACTCCCCATATGAATATCGTCACCATTGAAACTGTCATGTAGGGGTGACATAAAGAAATGCAATGGGCTTACTTGCTCAGGTGATCCACGACCACCAGAATCACTGTCAACCCCTCTGATCGGGGCAACCCCTCTATGAAATCCATGGCCACTTGCTTCCAAACCTTCTCCAGTAAGTATAGGAGCTGTAGCAACCCTCTTGGTGCCATGGTCAGGTATCTGTGTTGCTGGCACACATCGCACCGTGTCATCATGTTTTCTACATCCCCGCCTAGTAAAGCTTTGTCGATAGACGACTGTAGGTCTTTTGTACCTCGGCATGTCTCCTACTGCATTGTCGTGAAACTCCTTCAATAATCTAGGAATGTACACTGATGTCCTCGGTAACACGAACCACCTTGGGTAGAGTAGTTGTTCCCCCCTTAATGCATATCCAAGGTGACTGCTTGGATCATGTAGCAACTTTACTCGCATTTTCTTTAGCCTGTCATCTTGCTCGCTCTCTTGTCTCATTGCTTTCCAATTAAGGACCAAGGGTACCGATAAGGTTGTCGGTTGAGGTTCTTCCCCCTTCCTCGACAGGGCATTTGAGACTTTAATCTCCAACATTGACTAATACTGAATCTCAAAATCATATCCCAACAACTTGGATAATCACCTTTGATGCTCCTCAGTCGCCATCCTATGCTCCAACAGGTACTTCAAGCTCCTCTGATCTGTCCTGACAATAAAATGTCGTCCCAAACGGTAGGGCCACCACTTATGAATAGCCAAGACGATAGCCATCAACTTCTGCTCGTAGAATGACTTGAACCTCGCTCTAGCAGTGAGCACCTAGCTGAAGTAAGCAATCGGTCCCTGGTCCTGCATGAGTATTGCTCCTAATATATACCCTGATGCATCTGTCTCTACCATAAATGGTCCACTTAAATGTGGAAGTGCTAAAACTAGTACACTGGTCATGACTCTTTTCAGATGTTCGAAGGTCAATGTTGCAGTATCCTGCCGCTTGAAATTGTCTTTCTTCAGTTGCTCCATCAGTGACCATGCTATCATGTTGTACCCCTTCACAAATTTTCGGCAGTATCCGGTGAGACCTTCTAATGCGCACAACTTCTTCAAGCTCTTGACCAAAGGTCAATCCATTATAGCCTCAATCTTAGATGGATCTACTGCTACTGCTCTGGTCACCACATGCCCAAGGTACTCTACGTGTGGTTGTGCAACTAAACTTTTTTTTCAAAATGGTGTACAACTGGTGCTCTCTCAACTTCTCCAGAACTATCCTCAGGTGCTTCACATGTTTCTTCTTTGTACGACATTAGATCAGAATGTCATCAAAGAAAATTAGAACAAATTTCCTGAGGTGATATTGAAAAACCCTATTCATGAGGGACTGAGATGTGGTCGGGGCGTTGGTAAGGCCAGATGACGTCACCAAGAACTCTCAATATCCTTCATGTGTCCTGAATGTTGCCTTTTGCACATTCGTTCAGTTCATCCTAATTTGGTGGTATCCCGACTTAAGATTAATTTTCGAGAAAATAACTGCACCATAAAGCTCGTCCACCTACTCATCAATCACAGGAATAAAAAATTTATCGAACACCGTCTCATTGTTCAAAGCTTGGTAGTCCACATAGAATGTCCAATTACCACATTTTTTTTCACTAATAGGACTAGATTGGAGAAGTGGCTCACACTAAGTTTGATAATCATGGCCTCGAGCATCTCTTGGATCAACTTCTCTATCTTATCATTCTGAATCTGAGGGTACATGTTTGATCTGACACTGATAGGGAGAGCACCCTCCTTTAATGTGATAGATTACTCGTGCTCCCTCTGGTAACCCGCTTGGCTGTTGAAAAACGCTCGTAAACTGTTGTAGGAGCTGTTGGATCCCTTAAGGAAATTCTGTTAACTCTGGATCTAAATCTTCTCAGTGTTCTGCAACTCCACCAAGTAGCCCAACCGTGCTCGTATCGATTTGACCATGGTTTTGGGCAAGATCGTGGTTTTGCATAAACTAGCATCTCATCTCAGCATCACCTTCCTACCCTTCATCTGGAACTCCACTGTCAGGGACTTTCAGTCCATTTTTATCTAGTCACTTCATCCTCAAAATCACATTTGTGCTAGCCAAATCCAAGGGAAGGAAATTTTATATCACCTGTAGGCCATGAAGTGTCAGAACCAACCTCTTGCAAATTCCTCGATTTTTCTCCTCCTTCTCTGTCCCTATCATGACATTGAGCTCTCTGTAGTCACCGACTCCAACCCTAGTAGCTCCACGTCTTGATTTGAGATAAAACTATGTGTGGCCCGACTATCCAACAACACTATAATTGGTTCTTCCCCGATTATTCCATTTATTTTCATGGTGTGATTCAGAGTAAATCCCACCACTGAATTGAGGGACATCTTTCCTACATCCAAATGCATATGCTTCTCCACCGCATCTTCCTTCGATTACTCACCCTCTGTCTCCTCTGCTCCTCCTCCTGAAGTAAAAGGATCTTAAGGGCGTGCTCCTTACAACAATGACATGGGACATATTTCTCGTCACAGCGGTAACATTATTCTTTTTCTCTTTTATCATCCTCTTCTGCATAGGTGAGACGCTTGAAATTGCCCCCGGAGCGGGTCTCCGCTTTCTTTGGTGTCTTATTCTGAAATGACATCATATGGGTTCTTGGTGCCATGGCTGTCAAGACATTCTTGTAGAATTCTTATATGTTACAGCCTTTGCTGGTCTTGTTTACCTGTTTCTTGTCCTCCATCATCTATCCATCATCTAGGTGAGCCATTTCCCTCAATCCACGTGGTCTCAATGGTTGGATGACTGCTCGTATGTCGAGCTTCAGGCCTTCAAGAAGTTTCCTTCAAGTCCTGCTGTAGAAATACCCCTCAACCTCCCTAACAAGATCTCAAACTTCTCTTCTCCCTATATTCAGTAATCGTCACCTCCTAAGTCAGAGCATGGAATTGCTTGTATAGGTCTACTCCCCAATAACTCGGAAATGCTCAAATAAGTAAATCCTTAAACTTCTCCCACGAGTGCATCGGATACTGATCCATCCCAAGGATTATCACAATTTATATAAGTTCTGTAAAGGATGAGAAACTTGATATGCTTCCTAGCTAATTGATTGAGTTTTTAAAATTAGGTATTAATACTCTGTGGGGTTTCTTACGCAAGTATATGTATCGTTTCGATAATATAGAGTTTTATTGAGTCCGTTAACTGCAAAGTATCACTCTACCAGATACACCAACCAATGTGCATATTCCTCTTCGAAGATCGGCTTCTTCAATTTGGTTAGAAAATTGCATCTCCACCTCAACTACCTCTTTCTCTGGTATTTCCTCCCATGTGTCTATGATGAAACTCCCTCCTCTGAACATAGGCATACTCCACTCTCGATTCTCTCCTTCCTCTATGCTCTTATGGGCCCCTTATACCATCCCTCCAATTTTCGGCTCATCCTCCTCCATCGAAAGTCTCCACTCCTCTCCTCACGACGTCCTAGGGGGATGCTCTTGATGGTATATGATGTCCTCCTCATTGTCCTCTTATTCGATCTCCTTTCGTTTTGACCTGGCTAAGGATTTCCTGATCAACCATTGGTTAGGGTTTGCAATTGGAGCGATTGTCATGACCTTGGACTGCATCTCTGTGAGCTTTTTCACCATCTTCCGCATTTCTTATATGCTCTCGAACCTGTCCTCTCTATAGAAGAAAACCTGTCCTCCATAACGGCGAACCTTTCTTCCATTCTAGATTTGATTTGCCCAACTTCTCATTTCAGCACATCCACCTTTTTTGTTGTCATCCCTCAAAAATCTTGCTCTGATATCAATTTTGGTACATTTCAGAATCAAAATCAGCGAGCAAACAACGATAAAATTGCAGTAGATAGGTGGAACGCTCAAATGAGGGCTGCTCTTACAAAAATCAATGGACAATAATCAAGATAAAGGGTTGATCTACTATTAGAGAGGTGGATTGGTTCTCCACAAATCCTAGACGACGCTAGGAACAACTCAAGAGAAAGAGGAAAATTGTAGCTGCCAAACATAATATAAAAAAACAAACCCTAGCACTTATGCACTAATGCATACTCCCTAATCGTTCCTTTCAAATTTCCTCCCAAAAGCCCTTCTTAATTCCCTTCCTTCTATACGTGATTAACGGCTTGGTGGGCTCCACCCGGGCACTGGAATATATATATCAAAGATCTCGTGCATATCAAGGAAGAGAGAAGACCTATACGGTCCGTTGAGAAAGTTGAATTCATCAATACTACAAGTGCGTCGATCAAAATTTTCTCACCTTCAAAATGAACACCACCTCACTCCGAATATTTTAGTGGTATGACCTGACACAGACATTTTTCAACGAAATCCGGATGCATATGATCATCTAAATTACTCAAATCATCCTGTACCTTAATTTGTAACAATGCTTTTTGTGTAGTTAGAATGCAATCTCGTTTGTGCTTTCTCAAGATGTGATGTTCCAATACAAACCAAAACAACTCGTTGGCAGTATAAGCAAAGGTTTGCACGAGTAATAATTGGATCATTGAAAGAATCTGGGTTCTCCAAAATTTTGTTAGTTTTTTGTTTTTTTGTTTTTTTTTTTTTTGTTTTGTTTTTTGGGTTCTCCAAAATTTGATGCCATTCAATATTATGATCTCAAACTTAATGACCATCGATCTTAGATATGCATTTTAATACCTATTTATTAAAATGAGGTTGCCAAATAACTCAAAATAAAAGTATTAAACGACTTGTTGGGATGTGCACAGCTGCTAAATTTATCATGACCGCCAAAACTTGGAACCAAAACTTTTATGACGAGAGTGAAACCCTCAACTAAGATTACTCTCTTGATGGGTAATTATTTGTTTTCCATATGATGTTCGCTAATAATTTTCTCAAAATGATGAGAACATATGGGATATAAGTTGCAAAATTGAAACCTTATTACAGAGGCGTTCTGTGTCACTTTTCATTCATGTGACTCAATAGGTAATTAAATGCTTTATAAAGTATTTTTTCACCTTGTAGTATTTTGAGCAGGGCAGCGCAATTCAATCAGAACCTATTAATTTTTACCATATATAACGTGCTTTGTTTGAACTGATTAAATTCGTGCTTATTCTGTGTCGATGTATCAAATGTTGCAGGAACTTTTGGGACCAGATAATCTCTTCCTGCTTTTTGGAGTTATAGCATTACTTTCACTAGTGTTTATCCTTATGAAAGTTCCTGAAACAAAAGGTTTGAGTTTGGAGGAAATTGAATCTAAGATCTTGAACTGATTTCTCAAATTTTATTCATATAGTTTAAGTAATATGTAATTGAATATCTTCTGTACATGTTTATGAAAAGTGTTGATATATTAGTGTTATTTTTATACTTCTGCTTTTACTAATGCTATTGCTTTGCTTTCCTTGATGGAACTGATAGATCTGTGTAAACAGTCTTATGATCGTTTTCTACAACATTTTGCTTCTTTTGTCTCCCATCCGCATTAGTGCTCTTTATTTCTAATAAAATTATGATCCCAGCACAAGTTTTGCTGATAAGTAGCACAATCATGCACAACTCATTGCATCTAGGAAAGTATAGTCAAAGCTACTTAAATATATTGATTGCCTTAGTTATTTGAGATTCAAATGTTTTCTTTTTATCATCTACATTATTGATAAACTTATTTTCTCAAGTAATCAAAATTTTAGATAACTTTTTTTTGGTAATCAACTGATGGATGATTTGATTGATCCTCTCTCCTGTGAAATCACTTTATAAAATGTCTAGTTGTTAGATTGTAGATTGATGACTTTTGAGTGAGTAAGATTGAACTTTATTGTTGTTTGATAATACTTTCAAAGCAATCGGACAAAAAACAACGCATCAATTTTAAGAAAGAAATAAATAAAATTGATAAAAAAATGATTGTAAAGATTTTGAAAATAAGATTCCAAATATAGAAATTTTACATTGTACAAGAAAAGGTCAAAATAAACAAAAGGGTCTTTTACATAAATTCCACATGTATTTATATATATCACCCCTACCGCTGATATCTTTAATATCACATAAAAAATGCAACTATTTTCACTTTAAAAAAAGTAAAATACTTAGCTATGGTGGTATGCATGTAAAAATTAAACTTTAGTTGTTAGATATGTAAATACATAGGAATTGAGTTGTATGCAGGTAAATTTCCTAAATAAAATAAAAACAGCAAGATAAACAATTTTGTAATAAAAAAAAGAGTATAAAATAGGGTGCCCCCAAATGCCGTCTGTTTAAAACAAAGCCAATAATCATTATGCTAGTCGATGACATTTAAATATGCAAATGATTTGGACCTAACCTAAACAGGTCAATTGAGTCTTCAGATTAAAGCTTCGCTTGAGACAACATTGTAACTCCCTTCCGTTACAGTGAATGCCAAAATAAAATAATTTTCATTTGGTGAAGCAGTGTCTCGCGAACTTATTTTGTAGGAGCAGCATTTTTTTGGCATTTAATATCGTAGATCTCCTTCTCCATTATGCGGATGTGGGTCTTGAAGAAGCTTCGTCGAACTTCAAACAAGCCTAAAGCCTAAATCATGATAAATCTAGGAAAGGAAAATTTTGAAATTCCATTTCACTAAGCAACAGTTATCCACCTGTATCATTAGACCAACATAAGTGCAGTCTGCAATCAAATTTGATAAACAATAGTAATAAAAAATAAGATTATAAATTCTCAGCAAAGCTGCTTCTTTTATTTATGCATCAAAACTAGTAAAAAAATGGGAGTTAACTAAAGAAGTCTGCAAATGCGGGTATCGACAACAGGAGATTTAGAAGGTTGAGATATCTCCAACGCTTCAGCCAGACACATGCGGCGGTTCCTCCAATTAGCCTCCGCCCATTTCCTCATCCTTTCGCCTTCTCCTTTTCTCTTCTGTTGAATGCAGAGGGTTTCTGCATACCCACCTTTACCAAAAATTCATTCAGAAGCTTTTCTCAGTCATTATGTTACAATTATTTAATTCTAGCCTGCAACTTTAAGTTACTGAATAATACTACTAAGAGGCATCCACATACATGCCAAAAAATTCTTATATATCTACATATCTAACACCTACACTTCTGTATTTACATACATATCACTCAAATATTTGACATCACATCAAAAATATCAATATCATTAACTTATTAAAAGTGAAATATACATTTTAGTGCAGAGGTTTTTAATACCAACGTGTTAGAAATGTAGATATCAAATTTCTCTAATAATAATAGGTGAGTGGGCCCCACTCTTCTCTTGATTTACTTCAGCTGACTCCTAAAAATAATTTTTTCTTTCTAAAACTCACTATTGATGTCCCCTGTAAATTTAATTTTCTTAGAGAGAGTTGTGATACTAATCAGAATTTAAAGCTAGCTAAACATTTAAACATATGTTTTTTGCATTATTAAAATGTACCTCTTGCCAGTGCTATAATGTCCCTTTTTGCAAGCTCATTGACAGAATCTGCAGGGCCACCAATAATACCATTGTTTTCAGCCTTAAGAAATACAATATAAATATATGTGTGTTTGTATTACCTTGGCTATCTAAAGCTGGAGCTTTTAGTATATCTAAAGCTCTTCTATATAGCCCCTGCCATTTGACATTTTTAAGAAAACAAATTATCAGGAATAAAAATTCATCATTCAGACTTCTGAAGTAATAAAAAATCTCAACTAGTGCGCTAGATTAATAAAAATAAAGTTAATAGTTTGATTCCTAAGAAAAATTTATTGAAAAAATCACCATTTATGTGTATTTTCTCTATACTTTCATAAGCAAAATCATGAAAAGATTGATTATGTTATTTCATGTAGCAAACCAAGCAAAGCAAAAGCATAATATCAAGGATGTTCAAAAATGCTGAATAAAATACAGAAATTCAACCCAACCTCCTGTATCAATATAGCGCTTGAAGCCTCAAATTTGGCTTTTTGTTTATACATCAAAGCTATACAAGTCAAAATAACCCCAACCTTAGGATGGCCTGTACCTGCGGACCATATTAAAAATTTCATCTGAGCATGCAAATGATATCGGCTACCTTATATCCGCAAAGCAAACAAGCTTATGAAGAAAAAATACAAGGGGCATTTACATACAGACCACACAATTCTTATGTAGTTACATATCTAACATCTAAACATTGATATTTACATGCATACCACTCAAATCTTTAGCATCACATCAAAAATATCATAATCACTATTTCTTAAAAAATGAAATACATATTTTTATGCATAGGTTTATCACACAAAGGTGTTGTAAGTGTAAATATCAAACTTTAGGTGTTAGATATGTAAATAGATAAACATTGTATAGTATGAATGTAAATTTCTCAAAAAAAGCTCTAAAGTAAATACCAAAATGACTTTCAGCCATGGTAAGTGCCTTTGTCAGCAGCTCCTCTGCCTCGCTAAACTTCCTGAATTAAAAATTCTGCTATCAAAGCATGAACATGAAGACATAAAACCAGATTCAAATACCGCAACCAAAAGGGAAGAAAAAGGATCAAAGCACAAAAATGCAAAAGAATTCTATACGATGGTTTAATTATAAAGAAAATACAACCCTGATTTCTGAAATACAATGTGACAATATATATATATATATACATATATATGGCAGTTAAAAATATAATAAATCCCTAAGAAGAGAGAGGAGCTTACCCCAAATGGGACAGAAGCTGACCTAGTGCACAAGTAGCTCCCAAAAGAACCTCCTCAGAAACCATGTTTGAGGATGACATAAAAGAATTATCTGAAATAGCATCTCTCTCAGGAACACTTAGCACTTTTTCATATAAATCCTCTGCCAATGATAAATTGCCTGTAGCATGTGAAAATTCCCCATAACTGAGGGAAATATTTCCTGAAAAACAATAAAAAGAATTGAGTTGTTCTCTAGCTAGATAATTTGGAAAGTAAAGATAAGTATAAATAAGTATAAATCACCTATTTGATCTGTACTGTCCACAAAATCCACTTTGCAATCACTAAAGAGTGCTTCCGCTGATGAAAACAACCAAGTTTCCTTCATTAATACGAATCATATTAATTACAATCAAAGTAGGGTAACAAGAACAAGGTTATAAACCCGATTTAAGTTCTCCAAGAATAAGATGAGTTAGTCCTTTGATAGCTTTAGCCCGAGAGCTTGTAGCCTCCAATATAGATAAATTGCCTCCGGAGCTACTACTCAACAATTGGAGGCAGTCATTTGAGAGGGCCAACGAAGAGAAATCCTAAGAAAATCATCTTTTAAATAAATGTTTAAAAGAATAGAGCAATATAGAAGATCATGTGGTGTGACAAACCTGCCCTGCCTCAAGATTTAGACCTATCAGAGCTTCCCGTGCAGCAACTGCGCATCATTTCAAGAAGAAATAAAATTTAGTGCCTTCTTTAACAAAGTGACATTATATGTTTTAGGAAAAGTATATTTTTCTTATACATTCTCTTTATATTTCTAAGTCATTTGCGACAAAAGGGTTAACGTCCAGCTCACATAACAGTCCAACCCATAGACTCAAAACCAATTCGAACAGGGTTAATTTTCTCTTCTAAATAGTAATTTACAAGTCCAAAAGTTTTTTGTTTTCCTATCCCCTCCCCTTCCTAAATTTATCCCCATTTGTGCAGGAATTCTTTTCCAACTCCCTGCGACATCTATCTTCAATCCTATCATTGGTGGGTGGTCACTCAGAAGCACAATGGCGCAACCACGGATATCAGCCTAAAGTGATCTAAGTCTCATAACAAATCCTTGAGGCTAAGAGAAATCATCATCTTCTGGTCCGAACTACCCAGACAAAAAGACACAGAGAAACACGCAATAAAATGATTATTACTATTCATTTTTGGCTAAATCAAAGCTGTGTCATTGGTCCCAGTCTTTTTTGTTCATTGCTTCCTCTCACCCAACTTTCTCTATCTGACTCTATCTGCATCGTTGATGTTGACCCAACATGACCCATATTTCTATTATTTAAAATTAAGTTGTGCAATGGTGCACCAAGTCAAGTTAGCCTCAAGTCTTGGCTTTCGAACAATCGGCTAACCAATCTTTAATTAGGTTCAATCTTCTTTTAGCTGAATTGAATCCAAAGCCCAATACTTAGCAAAAAGGCCTAAGAAACCGTAATCTATAGCAATTTAGTGGGTCACTGTAAAACATGTGAAATGATCAATCAAAAAGAAAAAAAAAACCATGCAATAAATAATCTCGTTTATACAAGGTAAGCTTCAGTTACCTTTTATGGCAAGAGACCCACCGTCCAAATCATGAACCATCTGAAGCTTTTCGATGGAATCTTGAAGCTCGCCTCTACACCCACATCAGTAGATTTTAGATTTCTAAGCTAATGCACCTAAAATCTTTTCAGTATTGTAGTAAAACATACAATAATCTTGTCCCATAGTAAAGGCTAAGTATGATAATAAAATGAAAAGGACAAATAGTAGATACAAAAAATCAAAGCAAAGAAATGAAGGAGAAAAGAACCTTTCATAAAGTAAAGTAGACATTGCAAGCATAAGCATCCCCAATGCATCCTCAGTGGAATCTCCTCCTCTTAAGTTGGAAATCCCTTGCTCCAGCACCATTAGTGATTGTGTGTATGAATCTCCTGCAGAAGAAATACAAATAGATATGAAATCCTAAACCTAATTCCTATGTGACCAGTAAAAAGAGGAAAACGGGAATAAAAAGAAGCAATCTTGAATCTAAACATGCCTGATTTCTGAGACCTAGCGTGCCTAAGGGCATACTGAATCATCTGCCGAGCAACTTGGCTGCAGTGAGGCTCATTCACACCAATGGTTCCATAGAACTTTACCTGTAAAACTGCCATATCACTGCTACTACAGCTTATATCAGCTAAAACAGCAGATTTTGGTTTCGTAGTAATGTTTGTTGCTCTTGAGGCAGCTCTCCTCACAATATATTGCAGCATAGCTTGAGCCAGAAAACTACAAAAAAGATAGAGATGGAAAAATGAAAATGCAGATGGAATGTTAGCTTAAATCATTCTACACATAAATGGATACATAAATATCCAAAAAATGACTATATTTGAGACAAGAGCAACAATAATCCATGAAGTTTCAAGATAAAAATTTGATTTTTTTTAAATTGTAAAGCTTAAACTGCACATTGCAACTTCATCATTTTTATCATTAGCCTTTATCTGAACTATTTGGGGTTGACTTCGTGAATCTTGACTTTCCATTCCTTCTTACTGAGTGTTACATGCAGTATTAAACATATTATTCACAACACATTTTAAACAATATTTATCCATGTTATCTTAGGGTTAACACTTCTTCATAATACTAAGGCATTTATTTTATCTACTCATCATCTAAAAGGAACATTATCTATCATTTATTGTGCATGTCAAAGAATTCGTGTCAAATTTCATTTATATTATCTTAAATTTGTGGCACTACAACCATTCTTCTAATATAATCAGTCAATAATTTATTCTTTCAAGTTTGATCACAGATCCATCTTAATCTTTCCATTTTATCATGCTCAACACACATATCAACAGCTTGTTACTTCCGACACTTAAATCTATATGGCATCATTGGCTTTATTAAATTTTCATAAATTTCAAACGTACATGATATCCTATAGTCGAATAAGATTCTTGAGGCACTTCTACATTTTAAATCGCCTAATATTACATCTAGAAGCAATATCATCATCAATGTAATGACTTGAAAATTTTCCCCTAGAAAGATAATAATTTGCTGATTGGGTTGATTCAATCCAACCAATATTAGAGTGGTTAATCAAAAGATAGACCGATCAAACCTACTTGTTGACTTAATTAAAGTGGTTGCCGACTCAATCTGGGTGATCCACAACTCAACTTTACCATTTTTAAACTCAACCGGAGTACTCAACTTGACTTCAGTAGTAGTGAAGTAGTGTGCAAGGATGACTTGACCTGCATAAGCTTTATATTGATGAAAATCTGATGTTGTTCCCTCTACTTACTACAGCCTTATATTTTAACATCATCAGGAGATTCATTAAACCCGATAGGCTTTACTGATAGTAGATTCATTAAGCCCGATTAACTCTGACGATTCTCTGGAGAAAAAACATTGGATTGATTACTCATGATTCTATGGAGTAAAAAACATTGGATTCTCAGCAAGGCTTTCTATGGACGATCCATGTAAAATTTTTTTTATCTATGATTCGATAGCTCGCGGGTAGGCTTGACCTAGCTAGGAAAATGCAGGTTTGATTCAAGTGGAGTTAGTATTTCCGATCAAGAAGACGATTTGGATGTCAAATTTATCCAGGCAGATAGATTGGTGAAACGGTTCTCCATCAGTGAGGATTTGTTACAATAATTTGATTTCAACTTAAATGGGTTAAACAAAAAAGGCAGATAGAAGAAGGTGAAAGAATCAGATCAATTATGCTGAACACATATGTTCTACTGAAGAAGCTCTATCTTGCTCCTCCACATGCTCATTTTCTCAATCAAATAACAAGTGAAACAGAAGAAACCAGAGGCGGAGAATTATTTAAAAAAAAAAGCTTTACCCGGCCGGAGAAGAAGAAAGGGTAAAGCCGAGAAAGAGAGAGATGCGAGAGAGCTGAGAGATTCAATCCGACGACATGGAGGGAGCGGATTCTCGGGGCTGTAGGTTTTTATTCCCGACTACCACCCTAAGAAGATTGATTGCATGGGAGCAAATTTGTATCGTAATATTTTTTTTACTTTTTAATATAATAAATTTTATAATTATTAAATTTCTTTGAAAATAAATAAAATTTAATTTAATTATATATTTATTTTAAAATAATTTTCCATTTATAAAATTTATCAAAAATAAATTTCAATTTTTTTAGATAGAAATAGTGCCTTGTTAAAACATATTTGTTGGTGTCACATCTTTTTTAAATGATAATAACAATTTTATTTTTGGTGAATGTAGCACACGAAATGTCCTTCAATATATCCATCTATACTAAATAACAATCTACACTTTCTTAACAAAAATACCAATAAATTTATTTAAATTTCTTTCTGAATTTTAATATTTATCTTGTGAAACACACGATAAGAATAAAGCTATGAAAGTAAAAGAAAGAGTAAACAATAGAGTGGAAATGATACTATATTAGCCTGAACGATTCATTAGTTCTTTATTGTAAAAATGACCTCCTATTTATAAACAAAATGAGTATAAATTATATGTTCCTACTTGAATAAGGACGTGTGAACATATTTTAGTTATAAATAAATACACTAATGAATAAATAAATAGAAAACAAAATAGTCTCTAGCTCGGTTACCTCCAGGTTTATCTGATTAATTAAATTAAATTTTAATTATTTTGGGTTGTGTTTAGACAGGAGACACTGGATCAAGTGGGCTCAAGTTAATGTGACCTTTTATATCTTGTGGGTCATCTTTAACCTTGCTTGTTTTGTAGTTCATAAGATTTCTCAAGATACATGCCGACGTATTTTGGCCGTACACAATCTATACCAAACAACAATTGATTGAGCACTGCAGAATCCAATTATCTCTTCATGAAATTTGGCATTTGGGCAAATTCATCTACATTGCCAGAAATAAAAGGCTTTATTCGATAGAAATTTAAATAATAATGTACAAAAAATACACTTTAAACTGAACAAATGTAAAAAAAAAAAAAGACAAACATTACACTTCCATATGAAACTTTCTTATAAAATAAAATAAAAGGTTTTCCAACAATAATGGAATATTTTTCTGACAGTAGTTGTTGAAGAATTAACTGATGAGAAAAAAATCTTTTAGAGTCCCAAATTCCTTTTTAACTGATCGAGAGCAGCTTCTATCTCATCAATGTTATCTTCAATGCTAATTTCCTTGTTCTCTTCAGCTTTAAACTCATTTTTAGAGTTCTCACTGAAAGGATTTTCTTCTGCTTCAGCGCCAGATTCATTAATATTTAGCTCCTTTTCTAAGAACTCAACAAACTCCTCCCCAATGTCCTGTTAAATAACACTGCAATCAATATAAGGAAGAATGCAATAGCATTTTTCATTTTGGACGATTTTTTTAATTGATTAACGATTCTATCGTATTAGAAATAGATTTCCTCTTCAAAAGGATCAAGACGACAAATAAACGAAAAAAGCTGGAGTGAGCATAAATGTTCAACTCGGCTCACTAAACAAACGAGTAAAAAAATTTTGGAATAATCACATATAGAGCACCCAAAACATTGATTTTACACTGCCCATGTGATTTTTTGAACTATCAAACCGTGTATTTTCACGTGCCACGATCAAACCATTGAGAATTTGACATAATGTTGAAATAATTTCGATATTAGAGTAAGAGTTTCAGAAATGGATGAAAGAGAGTGCTTGATTTATAAGTAGCAATGTATCAGTTGCTCTGTCTGTAATTGCCCCAAAATTTTTTTGTTCGTATTTGCCTCATTTACCCATCAAGCCAAAACAGTGCTATTTAAAAGTTATTCACGAACATAAACTTTTAGTTGAATGTCTTACATAAATTATAGAATATACATGCTGATGCTACACGTGCATTTATCTATATATAAACGACCTAGCTAATCAAAATCGAACAGGGTTATGTTTGTATTTGGCTCACCAATTAAACGAGCTAAAATCAATCAATCAAACTCAGGCTAATTATCGAGTCGAACACAATTTTGTATGGCTCTAATAGTAGCATGCAGATAAGACTTACTGCCAATTCCTCCCATAAGCTTTTAGGTTTCTCCTGTGAGTTTATGCCTGTTTCCCAATTCTGAAACTCTATCTGCAAATCCCTGAAGAAGTCCGCTGCATTAAATAAAAATCATTTTATTTAGTAAAACGATTTCCTACAAGAAAATTTGCAAGGTCAATCAAAACTATGTAAATAACAATTAGCTTGCACACATCCCAAGACAAAAAAAAAACTACCTATCGTTATTTGAACTTCTCTCAGAAATTGACCTGCAGATTTAAATGTGTAGTATAAGGAGATGCTATTAATCCATCATCCATATCCTAAAAACTTTACAGGAAATTAAAAGTGACAAGAAAGAAATAACAGAGTTCATCAATACTTGATCTATAAAACATGAATGATTCTGAAGCATGAATACATATGTAAGATAGGCGTAAGAAATATTTGATGCTTTTGGGAAGTTGAATAACAAGATTCCATATAGGTACCATGTAAAACTAAAAGATTTTTACAATTTAAAAGTAATGAGGACATTTATTGGACAAAGGATATATCCCACAAAGGTTTACAAATTACAAAGCATATAGCCACAGGTTTCAGGTTTAGCACGATATTCGGTAGAGAAGCAAAAACTCCTAAAAAACTACTCGAAAGTTTAATAGTTGAATGTGTTTGAATATATGTTTAGAAGTGTTTACATGGATGGAAGAAATGAGAATATTAAAAGAAAAAATATGTAACCCAACAAAGAAGGCTAAAATGTTAGATGATTAAATTAGAGAAATAATATACTTTAGGAGGTTGGGCAAAAAGAGCAAGTAAAAACGTTCCCAAGACAATTTACTTGATCAATCATTACTCTCAACAAAGTTTTAAGCAAATGACCTGAACATGGCAAAAGATTATATCTCAATCAGCGTTTCCACCACATCTCCTTTGGGGAATAGCTAGAGTTTTGAGATACCAAAGAGAAGAGTAATTTAATCCAAAAAATACAAAAGATATAGGTTTGTTGCTCAAGTACAAAAGTGAATATGGTAAATAGAACAAGGTTTATAATGATGATTATATGAGAACGATGCTGGGTCATCAACTAATCCCAACAAAATAGACAGTGAGATACGATGAAACAATGGACAGAATTTAGATCATGGAGATCATAAGAACTTTATTAAGAATGGTAGGTTAAAAGTTAAACAGAGAGAGAAACTCACTATAGAATTAAAGGACATATACCAAATACGACCTAAAGAATAACGACATTAGTTTTAAAAGAAAGTTTTAGGGCTCATTTAGAGCTTGCCATTGAGCTAAGCAGGCCAAAATTTCATGGGTAAACTAGGGGAGTTTTCGAACCTTAGGGCGTATGCATTATAGGCTAGAGCATCTCTTTGAATGTTTGAAGCACGCCTTTTACACTTGTAAGAGGAGTGATCACCTCATGTTAAAATTTAGATAAATTAAATTATTAGAATAGTCAATGAAACTATTTACTTAGAGAGAACTTATGCACTCTATGTTATTGCTATAGCCAATAGAAACAAAAAAAATAAACACATAAGTTGACTCAGACAGCACTCTACTCGCTCATTAACCCCTCTCTGACTTGCTCAATCAATGCTCTCTCACAATAACTCACTTGCTCGATTAATCTCCCTCATCAACTTTGCTCTCTCACCAACCTATTAAGACCATTTCATTTCCACTGACGCTCATCTTGATCGCAAGCACACATGTCAATGGCATGATTCTTTAAGCTTTTGGGATCTTAGGAACCTAGATGCTAGTTTATTTGTTTTATATTTACATATTTTTATAATACAATTTTATTTAGTTCTCTCAATCTCAGACTCGGCTATCAAATACTTGACTAATGCTTTATGATTGTGTTAATACAACTTGGAGTTTAAATATGAATGAAATTACTATGAACTTTAAAATTTAAACTTTATATCAAATTTATTTCTTTATATTTTATTTTTAATCATACCTTTCCTTTATGAAATATTTAAAATGTAAATTGAAAAGGCTCATGAATCATTCCTTTAAGCTTACACCCCATCCCTATGACAATTAATAAAATACCTCATCTTATGTCCCAACTATTTCAAACGTTAGGAATGATTCAAGGAATACCAATACAAACTCACTTCACTCTCTTCATTGCACAAGGAAATAAAGCTTTTGAAGAGGAGCGCATTTGTTCGAATCAACCAGATAGGAAGAGGAGAACAAGAAAAAGCAAGCCTCTAATAATCAATAGACAAATTAATTCCCTTTGTTAGAAGTATCTCATATGAAAGAAAATTTGATTGACAAAGTGCCTCAGCTGGCTAACTGAGGAACAAAAATGATTTTGAGTTGTCCATAAAGCATGTTTTATGATGACAATATTGCCAACAAATTGATCGTACCAAACTCTTTTAGTTATATAGTTGTAACTAAATAGACCATCGCTCGAGTTCACTCCAAATTTAGTCGGACAGTCAAAATGTAAGCAAATCACTGGGAAGACGCCCCACATGATCCATCCAAAAAATTCTTTAGATTTTAAGCTAACATTCAACAACAAAAAGGATAAGATTATATTAAGTGGCTTCAATAGTTGTACAGTTATAACTAAACATATCATAATTTAAGTCTACCAAATTGAATTCACGCTTCATTCATTGAACATAGAATAATTCACTATAGAATTTAGTATGAGATTCGAGATGTAACAGGATTATCAGGGAGATTGCCCATGATCAAGCAAGACAATTCTTTAGAGTCAAAACTACCCAAAAGATTTTCCATTACTCTCCTTTATAAAAATTTTCAAAATGATAGCCAATATCCGTTTGTCCCATGCCATTTCACGCTCATCCATCCACCATCTTCAATTTTTTAAAATTCGATAGAAAAAAAAATAACAGAAAAAAGGGACTTTTACACACATACGACGGAATTCTTCTGCATATACAAATCTAACACACAAACTTCAATTTTTACATACATGCATACATGCACCTTTTCTATGCATTAAAAATAAAAAGTGAAATTTACATTTTTATGCGAAGGTGCCGCGGAATTTATGTAAAAATTGAAGTTTATTGCATAAGAATTCCGTGGTATTTATGTAAATCTTCCTAAAAAGAGGTGTGAAGTGCGAAGTGGACATTTTTTTTAGGAAATAAGATAACAAACTCCATACCTAGCCCATAAAACTCTTCTTCGTGGGAAGAAGCCTGCCGACTTCTTTGATTTTCACGTTTACTTGTGGAATAACCAAACTTTGACCGAGTTCCTGATCCTAATAAAGTAGTATACGCATGCTTTATCCGCATGAACTTCTCCTGCGCATTCGGCTGTTCCAAAATCAACATTCAGCAATATATTTCACCCAACCATCAAAAAGCTCAAATTTTTACCAGAAAGACGAGCGGAAACCAACCGCGGCTTAAAAAACAGAGAGAAGCTCCATAAGATATAAACTAACGCTCACCTCCTTGTTAACGTCAGGGTGGTATTTCAGGGCGAGTCTTCTGTAAGCCTTCTTGATCTCCTCCTGAGTGGCAGAGGAAGAGACGCTCAACACCTCGTAAGGCGATTCCCTCCGGCTCGCTCTCAAACAGGTACCGCCTCTTCCTTTAGAGGAGTAAAGCCCATCGCGGCCATACGAAGCAAAGGAGAGAAGAGACGAAGTAGTGCGTAGGGTCAGGAACACCGAGCAATTAGGGTTATAAAAACGGTGAGTAAGGGGAAGAGAAGAGGAGGAAGCGGGATAGCGAGGAGGAAGATGAGGGCTTAGAATTTGCATAGAAGCAGCAGTGCTGAGGATGGTAGAAAGCTTATCGGCTTCCGAAATATTTCTGCAGAAGCGGTTTACTATTTTGCCTTTTTCGATCAATCAATACAACGAAAAGGTAAATCACCTAATTCTTTTGAGTTTACATATCTAACACCTATAATTTAATATTTACATTTATAACATTCTGGTTTGATTAATTTATAGATTAAAAAATTAGTAATAATAACCTTTTTTTGTTAAAAATTAGAGAGCTGTGTGTATATATGAAAATTTTGGTGTCAATTATATAAATACAAAAGAATTATGTGATATTTATAGCAAGGAAAATAAATTTCAAAGATAAATTACGTCAATATTCTCTTAATTTTTTTAGAAAATTAAGTTTTAAAATCTCTCCATGAAATTTGAAAAAGTAAATATGTTTTTGTGCAAATGTTTATAAAAATAATAAGATATCCTTCTGTCTGAATAATTAGAATGTTAAAATTGCGTTAATTATAATTATGCCCCCCTTTTTTACATGAAATTTGGACAGGAAAAACTGTTGGGACTTACAATCTCATAAAATCACAATAAGATTGGAATATTCTAAATTTTCATTTTTAACTTTTTATTGTATATTCTATTACAAATTTACCTGTCCTGTATAGGTCTCAGTGTGAATCATAATATGAATGAATCTCTACGAATAACCATATCCCCTGTAAACACAATCAACTGTGCTCTGTGCAGCATAAACATGTTTATGCACTTTACAACAGATTAAAATAAACAATTTAATCATAACTTCTACATTCCAATCATGAAACAATTAATCATAATAAAGTGCAATTATGAATCAATCAAAGAAAAAGGCCATAGAATCTGTAAACACAAGTGCAGTGGTAGAAGAAGAAACAGAATAAAGCAGGAGAGAAGATAATGGAAAAGAAAAAGTGTTCTATGAAATATAAATAAGACAGTTTACGGAAAATTCCAGCCTCGCCTAAACTCAACTTCTCTCCACATGGAGACATTTTTACAGTCACTCTAAAAACATTTGTTCTCTCTTTTTTAGTACATTCTTCTTCCTTCAACTCATCTTTACATCCACAAACTTAAACTTAAACTTAAAACTTAAACTTGTACACATATCTCTGCTATCAGTCATTTGTTTGATAGTTGTTGACCTCATCTTCCTCAACATCTACTATAATGAACCTCATACTACAGAAATTTACAGTTTTAAGTACACATAACTAATTTATTTGCAATCAACTTGGAACAGCCTAAACAGAAAGATGAAAGAGGGAGCTCAAACTAGCCTCAGTTAGCTGTACAACTTCCTTATCCTTTATGTGTAAGATGGCTGAAGTCCAATTCTCCTCTCTGCAACCAAACCAAATTCAACAAATTATTAGAACATAGACGACTTGCATTATCCTGAAATGAGAATTTCTACTCACTAATCTTTCTGAAAAACCAGATTTTGAAAATTTTTATCATATTTTTGATAGCTTCAGAGTGTTTCTTCATAAAAAAGGAGTCTTCTTAACATACTATCAGAGAGACTAAAAATTTAACTCTCCACAATCAAATCAGATATTAAATTCTGTTTGTTTGAGTTGATCTTCTTTTCTATTTTTTTATTTTTTTCGCTCTTCATGTTTGAATTAAATTTCACCTATTCCCTGACATAAATTCGAATATGTTCTGGAATGATTCATGTCAACAGAAAATGTTAATAAATTTTATAGGTATCCAAAGAAGAAAATGTGCTACCTCCGGCGGCAACAAGTTTCTCTACGCGTGCAACTATGTGCTTCCCATAGGTATATTTTTTCAGTGCATTCAGATGGACCTTAATTCGCGAAAGAATGAGTTCCCGTTGCTGATCGTCACACGTCTCCAGCACTTTCTGTACAACATAGTTCGCAAACTGGTCTTTCATCATTGCCTGAAAACACCAAAAAACAAAAAATAAATAAATAAAGCATCTGAGGCATATATCTTTGTGCTGTGAAACAATTGATGGATAGCTTTCATTTTCAGTATGGAGAGATTGGAATAATTCAAAGCCTGCTGATTTAGCTTCATATATGATGGGGCTTCAGAAAAAAAAAGGACTTATTAATATAAAGGCTTAGTAAACTCAAAAACAAAGACTAAACAGTGAGCGCTTTAAGCATCTTCTAATCTTGACACATTTGGACATTTTGACAGTTAAAAAAAATACGGTTTATATTAGTGCTTCATAAATCTTGAAATTGGTAAAGACGACCATTTTAGATTGTACACATATAGCACTCATTTGAGCAATTCCATCCCGAAAAATAACTGTAATCACAACTGAAGAAATAAAACAATTTAAGAAGAGAAAAAACAAGTTAAAAGAGACGACGCATGTGATCAAGCTTTATCTTTATAATATTAATCTTGGAGGGTTGGTATTTGGATATTGAATATACATGGGTGCATGATAAAGCTCTATCCAAAAAAACGAGAACTTATAATCATTAAAGTGCTAAATATAAAAGAAATATACAATCGGTTTAAGTTTAAGAAATACTATGGACACTTGTGTTGAAGGTTTGGTCATGAGCAAAAAGAGAGACCAATCTTTATATTAATTGATAAATGTATGTGAAGATTCACGGGATAGGAGAGCTTACAAATCCATTATAATAGAAACCACTTCCGAAGCGAAAAATAATAAAAATCAGTGTTTTCACTAACCCTTTGATATAGCAGTGTTGTAACTCCCAGTAGTCGAAAAAGCCCTTCAAATGCCAACCATTGTAAACCATAGAGGTTTTATTAATTAATTTCAATTAGAAAATTTAAATTTATTCAAAATGAAATTAGTTAACCTTTTAGATAGCATAATGTCACAGACAAATAGTCCCACATTGGCTAGGTGTAGGGCCGAAAAGCAGTATTTAAGTCCTGGGCTGCCCACCACCCTTAAGGGCTCTTTTGGGAGGTGACAAGTGGTATCAGAGCAGATTATTGCCTGCCAAGTGTGGCGTCACGTGATTGGGTGGAGGAGAATGTCACGGACAAATAGTCCCACATTGGCTAGGTGTAGAGCCGAAAAGCAGTATTTAAGTCCTGGGCTGCCCACCACCCATAAGGGCTCTTTTGGGAGGTGACAATAAGGTTCAAATATTATGCTATTAAGGAGTAGATGTGAATTCATATAATTGTTATTAATGTTTGTGAATTTATATATATAAGAAGGGGCTCCTGGGCTTGCATGTTTTAATTGTAGAATGAACTGAATCAAAGATACTTCTCTTAATCTTCTCCTTCGGGGAGCTCGAATCAACTTCGTTGTCTAAATATTAAGAAGCCGCTAGATGCACTATGTAAAACCTCCGAGATTCATCTTCAAATTAACGGGGAGACCTTTAAAGAAATAGTCAAGACAAACTCCATCCTACTTTCCAAAAACCATGCAACGTCTATCCAGAATGCATAAGGAGTATATCATAGCAAATTATCTCTTTCATTATCTGATATAAAACCAACTACACATGAACCATGCATGAAAATAGGAAGTTTCATAAAATACTTCTCGGATCCACAAAAATGAATGTTACATCAAATGATAAAGGGACATTTTCATACCTGATTCTTATCTAATTAAATATCAAACACCTATATTGCCATATTTATACATAAAATTCAAATCATTAATATAAAAAAACACAATCACAAACCATTTAAAAGTGAAATATACCTTCTCATGCATAGGCTTATAACACCAGTGTTATAAATGTAAATAATAAACTTTAGGTGTTAAATATGTAAATACATAAAAATTTGAAGTTATAGATGTTAAATTCCCAATAATATAGTAGAGTCAAATTCCTAAAACAGTTAGAAAAAAAGCATATGGTAGGTTAGATTTTGTGCCAAAGAGAAGGCTTTTCAACCGATATCATGTTTCCCATCTGTACTATATGAAACAAGTCAGAGCACTCAGTGCAAAGTGCAAAGTAAATCTAAACAAGTGCTGAATCACATTAGAAGAATGGTTATGTCAACAGTATATTGAAGAAACATGGACAAATCTGAGTGTCCATCCAATGATGTAGAAAGTCATCAAAACTAAGATAATTCTACATACCATATTAAAAAAATGAATAAATAAATTAAAATCTAGCATTAAAGCATGCCACTTCATCGAGACAAAGTAAAGCCTACTCAGCTTCTCGCCAAAGTTTAATTCCATTTGGGGTAGAAAGATGGAAATAAGTTAATCAGGTATGGAATACACCGCCCTGCCACTAACTAACGAGAACTTGGATAAAAAACAAAAAACAAACTTAGATCGGGCATTTGATAAAGCTTCACAAAGATTATTGCATAAGAGAAAAAAATCACAATAAACGATCAATGTCAATCAGAAAAGAGCAACAGAGAATACAGCATATAAAACAAAGCACTTTCAATCAGGATTGAGAAAATATGCTTTAAAAGACTAAAAAGGCATTTAAATCTGCTGAAAGTCAGCACAACATGCCTGTAGAGGCTCATTTTCCTCAGTAGTACCAAGCATCTCATTCACTAATAACTGCCGTTCTTCCGCACCACCAAAGGTTAAGCACTTCTCGACAACATTTGAAGCAAACTTCTGTTGGCTCATCTGAACTATTTGACCAGCTAACTTTTGAATTATAGCAGATCGTTCATGAGGCTTTCCATGCTCCAAAACATGCTGTTAAAATTAATACCATGTTAGAAGGGTCTTAACAGGTCATGATCAACTTAAATGTTTAGGTGAAAATTTTTAAGATAATCAACAAAACCAAATCAAATACAAACTAAGCAGACAAGCAAGAAAAGGCATGGCAACACTTTCCTTTTAAAAGATGCAAATAGCAAAACTGAAGCAATTTTTGCAGTGAAAAAATCATAAGATTTTACATAAAACGAACCTGAACAACATAATTGCCATACTGATCTTGCGCTAGCATGCATACACTATCTAAAATCTCATCCATCATGATCTGTTGTGTTTTAGGATCATCACAGTGCTCCAATACTCTCTGTAAAATTTAAATGAAATTGAGCTAACATAAAAAAAGGAAGAACTATGCATCAAGTTATGCAACATATTAAAGATGATAGAGAACCTGTATGACACGACAACCATATGGATGGGTGGATAATGCCACCACTTGATCATAAAAAGTGGAAACAATGAATTGAATTGCATCTTGAGGAATGCACTCGATACATTTTTGAATAACATGGTTCCCATTTTGATCACGCACGCATCGCATTATATGGCCATCAAGTTCTTTAACCATTTTAGTCTGTTGATCCAAATCAACAACTTCTATTGCCTGAAGTATGAGACAGAAAACGGAGTAAAAACAATGCCTAAAAGAAGATACAGAATAATACAATAATCATTTAATCTGATGAGCGTAGATCACTATACAAATACCGGATGCAAATCAGCAATGCAAAAAGAACCATGTTATACATGCAGGTTTTTTAAAATCTTTCACAAGTCATTCAAATCGGGACTACAGACTAATTGATATGAAAGGCTGCTGAAATTTTTCCAATAAATATTCAGAAAAAAAAGGGTTAGGATGTTCAAAATACAACGCAAAAAATTTATCAAATGAAATCATTAAAATTGATGCAACCTTATTTTATCAGCTAAAGTTTATTAGAAATTCTATCTACTAACATATTGTTTAAAGCATTAAATCATTTTGTTTACATTGTGACAGAAATTAAGAACATGAGTTGGAAAGGAGACCAAATAAAAAGTCAAAATGCGTTGAACACCAAGACTACAGCAGCCCAAATGCTCGCAAAGATTGCTTTAACAGACAGCAGAAGAACTTATAAATGATAACTAAAACTAACGCGTCCACGTTACTAACGAGCCAATCATTTAAACATAAGTACTCAATATAAGACAAAAGACTCAGTAAAATGCAAATGGCGCTCACTCTGAAATAGATATTAGGTCAAAATGGCCAGTACAATGCCAACGCCCAAAATACCTAAAAGGCTAATTTACTCTGAAATAAGAAATCGGTCTCTAAGAACTAAGTACATACATGCATAAATTGATACACATATAAATATATTTAGACACACACACTCAGAGAGAGAGAGAGAGAGAGAGAGGGAGGGAAATTACTAGAATAATATAACATAGTATCATCAAACCAAGAACAGTGCGGTTCACATTGTTTATTTCATAAATGAACAAAAATACATTAAAAAAAATTAATAAGTGTACCAACAAAATGGAAAGTGATTTGTTGCCTTTCATGTGGACAAATGATTTCAATCGCGACTTAAAAAAGTTTTTTTTTTTCTGTTTTTATGAAAAACTAGAGACAAAATGTTGAATAAAAAATGATAAATGGTTTACAACTTCACATCATGGTGGAGTACATAGCAAAAATACAATTTAAAATCAAAAGTACCAAAAGGTGTCTTTTTTATGTTTTGCTAAATGCCTCCATGTATAAAAAATGTTAGCTGAATGCTAGGTGCTGGAGTAAAGGCGCAGCTTCACAGTGCTCCCCTTTCTGAAGTAGTTCTTTTAATGCATTTACACCGTAAACATGATATAATTAAGTTGGACGACAAAACTATAATGCTAATACCAAGATTGATTTAATATCAGCAATAAATTAAAGCTACAAAAATAATAACTATCTGAATGTGATTAAAAAGTGAATAATTGTAAATTTTAAACATTTGATAGGAACAAATATACCTTCTGAATCACTCGACATCCATACATCTGCAGACTAAGAGTCAATACATGCCCTGTAAGCTGATCAGCCAGCTCACTTCTCTGAGCAGCAGATCCATGTTCAAAAAACTGATGTATAAAAATTATTTGAATGGTTAAGACTAGGGTAAAAAGAAAACAATTTGAAATCACCAAGCTAAAAGTTTCTTCAACAGTAAAAAAGGTTAAACCTTCTGAACCACATAATTTCCAAATACATCAGTCATTAAAGAAAAAGCATGAGGCATGATTTCATCAAAAACCATGTCCTTCTCTTTAGCCGTGGCAGTTTCTAGTTTCTGTTGTATGAATCGACTCCCATACTGGTCAGCACTGAAATATAAAAACTCAACGTCAATGATGATACAAAAGTAACTGAAGGAACCTAGAGTAGAATGGCTAAAACATTCAAAGATAAACGAAAACGGTAGCCACCAGCCAGAATATAACTGAAGCATTATAAACATTCTCATGGAAAACCATAAACCTTGAGTGCAGGGAACATCGAAGAAGCACTACTTAATGAGCTGCACTAATAGCATAAATATAATAATACCAGCTACTACAACATAGATCTACATGGTGGTAATAGGACTAAAAATTTAAACTTTTTCGCGCAATTTATAATGCTATCCTCAGAAATTTTAATATACAATTCAAGTTGTTGCTAATAGCATTGAAAATTGAAATATTTCAAACAATTTATTATGATTATCACAACAAAATCATCAATTTGAGACTAAGTTCCAATTCCTTTATTCTGTCAAAAATGAAAAACCTTCAAAGAACACATAAACAATAACAGTCTCACCTCTAGAAGACTAGAACAGAATAATGGATAAATAATCTAAAGCTCATCAACATAATATAGCACAAAATACAGCTTAGACGATCATCAATGGGTACCTGAACTCAACTACATGACCAGCGATATCTGAAAGCTCATAACACTTAGTCTTGTTGTTCTTAAACTCCTCCAGAAGAGAGGAAGCAAAGCCATCATGAATGTTCCCACCACCATCCAAATGCCAAGAACCCATGACACCACCAACTAAGTTTCTCATGCCCGAAGGAAGATGCATATTGCTCCGCTCACCATGCCTCAAAGGGCTACCAGATCCAACAGGAGAAGCTGGGAGAATAGGGCTTGCGAAAGGACTTCCCTGATAGGACATTCCAAGACCAAAAGGACTGCCATAATAGCCAGACTTACCAAGAAATGGCATTCCAAACTGTTTCTGTTGTTGAAGCAATGCCCCAAGATATGCTTTTTGGGCACCAAGCGAATCTGCATAAGAATTACCCATGAAGCCCCTCTCCAAAGAAGGATCATTGAAATTAGTTGCAGCAGCTTGTGCTGCACTCAGGTACTGAATATAAAGCGGATCAAGAGGCATCTGAAGAGCAGAAGTTGCTGCATGACTACCAATTTTATTGAGATTTTGCAAATCCGCTGTTCCGCTAAAATTTGATGATGAAGAAAAACCGCCTCCAAGAACCATAGCATCAATAGAAGGTGATCCAAGTCCAGATGCCACTGCTGCACTCTCAAACAGAGGTGGTAAATTGCTCGCACCAACGTGATTGGTCATCATTGAAGGTAATGAATTTAGTGAATATCCATTCAGTCCATATGTTGTAAAAGAAGGATTAGCACTGCCATCTGAGTTCCTGGAATAGTGAACAGGAGAGCCACCTGGACTTCGAATGTTGGAAGAAGTTCCCTTTTGCGATGAGTTATTAGAAGGACGAGAAATCTTCTGCATTTCAACATGCTGTGTAGATCTCAAGATGGCGTTATTAAAATCAGGAAGGCTGGTAGAGTTTCTAGCAACACCAGGAAATGAATTCTTGGTTGATTGACGAACAGAAGACAAATCTATTTGTTCTGAGCCAGAATATTGCATGAAAGATGGTTTAATATTATTTTGACCGCCTTGCAGATCAAAGAGAAACCTCTGATGGTCATCGGTTTCCTTTTGCAGACTGAACTGCCTACTTTCATCTATTGCCGCACTGTTTGAAATATTAATGCCAGATAAAGCAGACATGAGATCATCCGAATCAACTATGGCAGATGCCGTCCTATCTAAAGTGCTTGAGCTACTAGTTATTTTCTTATCGCTACTTACTATCTTGACACCTACAGGAGGAAGGCGAGGACTAGGAGCCCTTGCTGCCAGCTGAGGATCAGGTGTATTGCTTCTTGAAAGAGATGAACCCACAACAGAAGCAAAAGTAGGGGATGGTGATGCAACATTGTTTTGAGGAACCATGACACTTTGAACATTGTTTCCAGCTCTAAGGCCATCAAGAAGATGAACTTCACCAGACCTTAATGGCTCCACACAATCATCAAAGGCATTCCGACTTGTAGGGCGAGATGGATGGCCTGACACTGAAACTCTTTGAGCCTGGTCATCCTGATAAAAACATGAAAATATTAAAAAAAATGCCGCAAAAAAACTGTAATATTAAATATTAAAAAAATATTAAGCTAAAAAGTTGACTTCCTCTGCAATTGCTTTGTTTCAAATGTCACACTCATATATAATTCAGCATGGTAAAAGCCTGCATAAAGCTACAAGATTCAACCATGAAAGCTATGGGAACTACTTAATTACTGCATCACCTAGACGACTGAAAAACCAAACAATATATAACCCATTCCCAACAACAAAATCATAATTTAAGCCCACCAACATCACATATCCCAAACATTTTATTGCACGTGTCCAAAGAAAAACAAACTCACAACAGCTGTGCCAATATAATAAAATGTAAAATGTACCAACAAAAGGTGATTCATATTACAAACAATTTTAAGAGACAATTCCAAGTTAAATGAGCATGTCTCCGCATAATTGAAATTGAAAATTTACAAAAACAAAGTACATAATGAAGCTAATTAAACTTGATCAGATCATTAAGTTGTTCACTGTTTCCAAGAAACAGAAAAAATTAGGGTGGAGTGGGAATAGATTTGTCAAGGAAGTGAAAAACAACACGGAACCTAATTAATGTAAACAGCATGCACTTTACTAATTATTAATTAAGATTGTTTCATAAAAGGTATATACTAATGATATAACGAAGCATTTAAATAGCTTATAGAAATACTATTGACTTCAACATCATATACCACTGATATAACAAAGCTTTTAAATTGCCTATAGAAATGTCGTTGACTTGAATATCTTAAACATGACACGCTTACCCAACTGTTTCAGACAATATAAGGGAGGGTGTGCAAATTTTACATACATATCACATGATTCTTATGTATTTACATATCTAACACCTTAATTTAAAAATTTACTAATATAACACTTTTTTTTGAGTGTGATGTAAAGGTTGCTATCTCAAATGTATTTAATCAATGTCCTAAACCAATTGATGTTTCTCCATTCCCTTAAGCCTATTCATCTAAAGAAACATATAAATTCTTAAGATAAATTTGAAATATGATGGCTATCAGCATTTCAAAAAGATAATTTGCTAAGCCATATTTCTATCAATTATTTCATTCCTAGCCACGAAATTCATATAAATGTCACTTTTTACCAGATGTTACAATAAAAATATAAAAAAGTAAAAATAAACTAAAAGTAAAAGAAAGTCAGAATATCAACTGAAATTTGCACCCAACTTAAAACCGCAATGTCCAAAACTAAAAAACAGCAAAGCCAAACTATGGAACCCTCAATTATCACATGAAATATAGCATTCCTTAGATAGTAATATATTTTTCTAAATATGAATGAGAATATGAGAGTATATGCACTAGGTTTCTTCCAAATGTAGTTGCAGCAAACATCACAGCGAAAAAAGGAAAAAAATCAGAATCTAAAAACAATTCCAAGAAAAATTAAATCAGCAAGCAGCATGTCAATTAACTCAATTCATAGCCCTCTCCATTAGATCTCATAAAAAGCCATACATCAAACTAAACATATGGAAGTAAGAGCATAATGAAATAATTAACTATAGTTTGCATGCTACAAGCACATTCAAACCAGTTTACAAAGAAAAACAGTAGCGCAATAAACATTTAGCAAAAGTGATTACTACATAAGCAGAAAAAACCCATATAAAGGGAATGATAAATGTAAAGTTGGGAGTTTGGGGAAGCAGTAGAAGCAATGAAGCATTTTTACAGCCATAAATCACCTGAAAGAGATCAGCAAAACTCTTCTGCCGGCCCAGAGACAGAGCTGGCAAGCCAATCAACCCATCTCCTCCATTATCCAACCACTCGCTGGAACCTTGTGCAGGCTTATTTTCTTCATCCTCCTTGGCACCAAAACCTGGCTGCAAGGAGAACAATGATCTATTCCATCCTTCTTCAATCCTACCAAGATTCCTCCTATCTCCAATTCCTCCCAGTCCAGAGCTCCCAGCCTGGACCCTCTTGGCAAACCTCCAATCTTCCTTGGACAGCACAGGAGGCGGCAGCCGCGGGTTCAGGTTTACATTGGAGTAGTAGTATGAGACATAAGCTGGATCAGATAGGAGATCCTCCTCGGTGATGCCACTTCCACGATCGGCGTCAACACCAAGCAGCCCTCCCATGGCAGTCAATGAGCCCTCGACAGTAGGCGGCGCGGAGCCGCTGCGGTAGATATTAAGCTCCCTTTCACGATCGCTCGCCTCCTGTCTCCGCTGCTCCCGCAGCAGAAGACCCAGCTCCCTGCCGAGGTCTTCGCCGCTAAAACCCTCCCCACCGGAGCCGATCATCGCCCTCACCCCCATTTCAGATAGCATATTCACCGCGCTCTCAGTTACAAAATCAAATAAGAATACGAATATCTTCAGAAAAAGCAAGTTTACAAGTGCTATCTAATAGATTGAAAAAGCTCCGAGCGTTCAAACACCTGTCCAATTTCAAAAAGATATGAACTTTTTTCTCAAAAACCATGGTATCAACTAAATCGACAGCAAAACCCTAAATCCGAAACTCCGTTGCCAGCCATTCAAGCAAAACCAGCCACAGCTAGCGGCGCACTCAATTAAATCGGGGAAAACTCAGTATCAGCTACTAAAGCCGCAAACTTTTTAGCTCTAAGCTCGAGCCAAACGATGATCGGCGATTTTTTCAGCCATTTATGTACTTGAGACCTCCTGGCAACGAGTAGAAATAACGGAGAACGATACAGAACAAGGAAGCAAGAGAGAGTGCGTGCGAGAAAGTAGAGGGCGGACCAGCACAAAAGCACCGGTCGGAGCCTGATAAGCAGATGCTGTAAGAAGATCTTCACCGTTGGATCGAATATCCAGCGGCCAAGATTTCATTCTGGCCCTGGACTTGCCGCTAGGGTTTTCATTTTATTGCACGGAGCTAATTGCGGATTACCCCTAATATTGCTGCCGCAATTTTAAATTAATGTACTAACAAAAGAATCTGGCAAGTTTTCGTTTTAAGCTCAGAACTTTTAAATATTTCGATATACGTCCTGGCACGTGCGAATAAAATCCTATGAACACCTGGTTCGACGTGACCCCGATATGACCTGCTATTGACCACGTGGAAACTTAGGAGTAGGGGTTGGAAAGTGGGTTAGATATTTCGAACTATGCCGTGCTGAATGGACGGTGGATAAATGGGCCAAGTGTTCGTTGGTGATGGAGGGTTGATTTGTAAAAATAATAATAATATTTTTTGCAAATTTCTTTTATTTAGACTTTAGAGTTATAGCGCAGGATCGGGGCGCCACGTCGGGATGGCGATGGGGTTTACTCGCGCGCCCCACACGTGTCATGAACTGCACAGGTAAGCTTAGCAGTTTTTACGTTGAGCTGGGAACAGGGGCAAGAGAGAGTGCTAAATATGGGGAGGCAGTAGCAAATCAAAGCTGGATACGGGGATTAAATACTGCATTTATGTATATAAATTAAAATATAGATTTTTCTTTTAGGGTTTAAATTGTAATTATATGGTATGTGATCGCCCTCTTTGATTTTCGGTGGTTTAATGCTATTGAGAAAATATGCCAAAATTAACAGCTTTATTTCCATATCATAAAGTTCAAATTTGCATAATTGAATAATGATGTGTGGCACTAAATTCACTGAAGTAGAGTAATCTATTATCATCTTAGCATTGCATGAGAATTCAGTACGCACAGATAACGGAAGAGAAGGAAGCAAGATGAGGCACCTCAACTTTTTATGTGAAAAATCCTTGAAATGGGGAAAATCACGGGATCTAGCTCAGTTGAAATAATCCACAATGAATGATGAGTGCACATGTTCATTCTTCTCCTAAATTATGAAATATGAAATTACGAAGTTCTATAACTGTAATCTGGCTGCAGTTCTTAGTGATAGCAGGTTACAGGGGTCATTGTTGATTGTTGCGAAAGCAGTAGTTCGTCGTGAGTATTGTAGATGATTGCTTCAGAAGCGTTGATTGGTAAAATAAACTGTAGTAAGCAGTTACGAGAGTTGTGGACCACATAGGTCGTAGTGACAACTATGAATGGCGTCCGTAGGCAGTCGGAGCCAGAGTCGGGAGCTAGAATCATATACCAAATTGTTTTCAAGATTAGAAACCATACTCAGTCTAGAGCTGCAGGAGTTGTGAACCCCGTAGGTCGTAGGGATGAGTCTGAATGACCTTCGTAGGTTGTCGAGGCCGGATTCGGGAGCTTCACGAGTTGTGAACTATGTAGGTCTTAGGGGGGCAAGTATGAATGATATCCGTAGGCCGTGGGGACCAGAGTCGGGAGCCACATGAACTATGAACCAGGTAGGTCGTAGGGGCAAATATGAATGACGTCCGTAGGGGCTGGAGTCGAGAGCTGCACGAGCTATGAACCCCATATGTCGTAGGGGCGAATATGAATGACGTTCGTAGGTTGTGGTGGTCGGAGTCAGGAGCTGAACTAGCTATTAACCCTGTAGTCCATAAGAATGAGAATGAATGACGTCCATAGACCGCGGGGATCAGAGTCGGGAGCTGCACAAGCTGTAAATCACATTGGTCGTTGTTGACACATGGACCGTTGTGATGAGCTCATGTCCCACGACGATGATTCACAACATTTGATTGGTGGTAATCGACGATGATTGGTGGTGATTGAAGGTAACGATCGATAGTGGCCGACGATGATCGACGGGTGTTGACGATGGTTGTCGTTGGTTGATGGCGATCAGCGATGTTCGATGACGGTCGGGATGGTGCTGAACTTCAAGTTCTTCTCAGAGCTTCCAGTTCTTTTTGAAGTTTAAAGTCCTTCCCCTCATATGAGGGGTGAGGCTCTATTTATAGTATTCTGGGCGTCATTAATGCATGAATATGAATTCACTTTAATCGGATGGTCCAAAGAGCTTTCTACGATCAAACAACGTTTAATAGACATTTGAGTGCCTTAACAATATTGAAATTGTGTAATCTTGGGCTCGTTGGATTTGTCTTGTCGATTCGCTCGAATTGAATATAAACTTGTCAAATCCAACAATTGTTTGATCTTCCAAATATGTTGAAAGTCTTTCAATAGTCGTTTAATGACTTGATCTGTGATTGATTTGACTCGGATTAGAATGACATTAATATAATTAGGTTTGTCTCATCGAGCCGGTTAGTTTTACTATAAGTTTGCTGAAATCGGAGCTCTAGATGAGTTTTAGTCGAATTCTTAATATTTCTTGTTCAAAAAATGGCATTGAGATTCGTGTCGGATAATGAAAATTTGTTGGTGCCATATCAAATAATATAAATATATATATAT